GCAAGAGTCACTGATTTGAGTGTCATCAGCAAAGGATTGACTGGAAACTGAGTGGTGGCTAATGAGAGATGATAGAGGTTTAGTGTAGAGGATGAAAAGGACCGGCCCAAGGACCGATCCTTGAGGAACTCCAATAGACAGGGCTGAAGGTTTGGAAGAGCGGTTGGAAATAGAGACTTTTTGAGTTCTGTCAGAAAGATATGATTGGAACCAGTTTAAAGCTGAGCCAGTAAGTCCGAAAGAAAGATGAAGGCGGTCAAGAAGAATCTGGAATAATCAGCCCAGCCTTCGGATATTACGTGAGTGTTTGAGTGTGAGTTCCAGGGAATATATGTGCAACTATTTCTGCTTTCAATGCCTAACCTTAACAAAGTCAACGTGGGCCGCTAAATCTGAAACAGCCATTTACTACCACAACGACAACGGCGACAGTCTACCGTGACTAACTTTTGAATGTCCAACAAGGGTGAGAAAAGCTGCTGCTTTTTTCTTTTTTGATTCCAGTCGTTTTAGTTTTCTATAACTTAATTGTGAGGTGTTCATTCGCAAAAAAAAAAAAATAATAATACTTTTTATTTACTTTAGAATTTAGAAGAATGGTTTATGCCAGAAAACATTAAGAAAACGAGGAAGGAAGGAGATAACTCTCGAAGTCTCGATTATAGCTTCCGGTGAAAACAGAAGTTATCAAAATAAATCCCAGTTTATTTCCACATTTACCGAGATACGAGATTTTATTTAAACTTAACAAAAAATATATTATGTATGTTGCATGTCGGGTACAGATTAAGAGGTTTTGGTAGTGCTGAGAATTTTTAAAGTGCAACACTGAGTGTTGTTTGAGTTAGGGCTGCAGAGAGCCTCAGATATTTAAGGGCCCAAAGTTAAGATGTGGAAAAAAAGAGTATAAATTCTAAGTGCAATGGTCAGAAAACAGAAAAATGGCAGGGATCCTCCAAAAGTCACTTGACAACATCTTTCTGCCTTCAACGTAAAGAAATAATAATAATAGGAATCTATTATTAACTGCAATAATTTTTTTAAAAATATTTTTAATGCAATGTAAAATGAAAGTCAAAATGTTTACTGTTACAGGTTTGTGTTCATTCTAGGTCAGCCATAATTATATCAAACTTAAAAATCAAATACCGCTACGTGTAAGTTCCTAAGACCAAAATTTGAATTTAAAATTACATTACTAAAATTCTTTTAAGTCCAATTATTAATTACTGTCGGCAATTTTAAGGATTATTGGCAACCCTGGATATACACAATGCATAGTGGTTTGTCTGAAACTAATTGCCGCCCGGTACGAATAAAACAATCGTGCCCCCCCCCCCCAATAAAAAAAAACCCAGACAATGGTTCCCAACCTGTGGGTCGTGACTACTTTATGGCAAAAAATTAGGGGTCGAACGACCCTTTTACAGGGGTCGCTTAAGACCATCGGAAAACACAAATACTCTACAGTTATGAAATAGAGATATACACAATGAATAGTGGTTTGTCTGAAACTAATTGCCGCCCGGTACGAATAAAACAATCGTGCCCCCCCCCCCAATAAAAAAAAACCCAGACAATGGTTCTCAACCTGTGGGTCGTGACTACTTTATGGCAAAAAATTAGGGGTCGAACGACCCTTTTACAGGGGTCGCTTAAGACCATCGGAAAACACATATACTCTACAGTTATGAAATAGCAACTAAAATAATTTGATGTTTATTGGTCGCCACAACATAAACAACTGTATTAAAGGGTCGTGGCATTAGGAACATTGAGAACCACTTCCCTAGTCTATTATGTTTGTTATAAACAATAAAATATTTTGTAAGTACCACCTTGATAGGTAAAAAAAACGTAATAAAAACTAAGGGGTCGTCCATTAAATATGTAAACAAAGTGGGGGGGGGGAATGTTTGACGATTGTTGACAAGGGGGAAAATTCGGGGGGGGGGGATAGATTACATGGCGTCAACAATAATGTTTTCTCTATTTAAATTTGTATCTTAAAAATTGACTGGTTGTTAAATTATTTAACAAATTTAATGAGTGTAAATTAAAATAGTTGTATAATTTCTAGTTATATAAAATTTTTAACTTGTTGATTTACAAGCTAAAAATGCAATAAAAAGGTTTTTCCTACAATTTTGTGTTATTAAAATAGATCAGCATAAATTAAAATTTATCTATTTATTTATTTATATTATAATTCACTTTTTAAGTGGGTGTGTATAGAAATGTTGACATAGTTACTGGGGGGGGGGGAGGATTCCATTAAAAGTTCGAAGTGGCTATTCGCACTCATGTATTAAAAGTGAGAGGTTAGGATTTTAAAAAAAACTATTTAAAATATTATTGTTGGGTTTGTAAGACAAAATGAGGTATCAAAGGAAAGATAATTGAATGAACTATATGTTGGTAAACTTAATTCTTCAGTTTAACTAAAATAAACTACCACAAATGACATCCGAGTAGGGCGAGGTCACCCATTCAGATACGCTAGTTGATGGGGCGAAAATTGTGACTGCCTATGCCTATGAGCCTCAACATGTTCTAATATGACACTGAGTTTGTGGGACAAATCAGTTAAAGTAGGTCTGTGTCATGGGCGCCCGCAGGTAGGGGCACTTGCCCCCCCCTGGATTGATTGGATAAAAAATGTTTAGACAAAAATAGACAAAAAATGTATTAAAGTAAAGAGAAAAAAAAATAGAGCAAGTAACTAAGCTTATGTCCTGTCCGTTCGTTCACCAAGGAAATACGCTACAGTAAATTAAAACTATATTAAAACATTACTTTAAAAATTTTGCCCCCCCCCTGGAAAGTTAATTGACTCCCCCCCCCTAGAAAGTTTTCTGCGGGCGCCCATGGTCTGTGTTCAAGCTTTACTTGAAATTGGGTAATTCAATGATATATTGTAAAACATTACTTTAAAAATTTTGCCCCCCCCCTGGAAAGTTAATTGGCTCCCCCCCCCTAGAAAGTTTTCTGCGGGCGCCCATGGTCTGTGTTCAAGCTTTACTTGAAATTGGGTAATTCAATGATATATTGTAAAAACAGTATTTTAACTTCTTTTATTTTTTTAGTGAAGGAACTGCAGCCAAAGAAATGTAACATGACTTCCGCTCAATCACATGATCACATGACAGGAAGTACAGCTTTTGTTTAGTTCTCGTGATTATTTGCTCGTAGTGAAGATACATTTTTCTGCCATCAGTGCCAAGTAAGTTATGTTTTGGACCTTATTGAATGTTAAGCATAGCCAAGTTTTTACAAATGTATTTGTTTTTTTTAATTTGAAAAAATATTGAATTCTAGGTTTGATTAGGTTAGGCCTAGCCTACTTAGTGCTTTCTTTTAATGAACTTTTATTCAAATAAATATTTAATATTTATAAATTAAATTAAGCAGGATTTGTTGATCAGTCATACTCATTCTCAACTCACTCTTATACTTATATTATGGTAGTCTTTTGACTTGACATTGTCAATCAACCTTTCTGCCTTCTAGTACCGACCTAGGCTGGTTCTTAGTTTTCACCCAGTGAAGCCATTTGCGCGTTTTTTATAGTTGACTTAGGGTTCAGTTTAGGCATAGTTAGTATAGGATCGATTTAGGGTTCAGGTTAGGCATAGTCATAGGGATCGATTTAGGGTTCAGGTTAGGCATAGGGATCGATTTAGGGATATAATAGTGACAAAATTAACTGGTTGTGTCTAGGAACTTCGATGAAGCAAGGGAGACTACTAAAATTTGTATGGAAAATAGGTGTCGGTGCGCGAAAATCAGAGTTCTTTATTTTTTGATAGTGGAACTATTTCATTCAAATAATTACTATATCCCTGAATTGTGTTCCTCTTCCGGCCTTTCGCTTTAGAGGAAATCTTTGCCTACAGTTTAAGAAATTTCTTTTACAATCAGTCAGCTTTGAGAATGAGAAAATCCTTGGTGAATATAAGGCAACTTCAACCATTAAAATTAAGTTGAAGTAAAAGACATGTCACAACCAAATTTTGTATGCATCTGGGGCATGTATTGATCTACATGTTTGCCAATTTTCACAGCGATATGTGTTTTACGAGAGACACCATGTTTCTACGGGTTTGCAGCAGGTCATGCAGTTCGCTCAGCCTAATTTCAACTTGGCGTTGGCCACGTCCCCTTTTTAATGTCAGAAGTTGCCGATACTTAGGAAATATTAAATTATTACCACTATTTACATCAAAATATTTGATAGCTTGTGTTTCAGAATGCATTTTGAAGACATTTAAACTGGAATGTTTTAATTTGAGTTTTAAAAACCCGATAGAGTCCATATTATAAATGACCAGAATTTACGGTTTGCTACACGTTGTCATTGGCAACCATACACAGCCACTTGCATAATGGCTGTATCGTAGTACTACCTCAGAGTTTCATTCATAAGAGTTTGCTGTGTGCAAAAACTATTAAACCATTGCTCAGGGAAAGCTTTAATTAATTATTCATGTGCCAAGGTTGAAAGTTTAAACTAAGTCGACCCTAAACAGTATTTTAGTGATAAAGGACGCATTGTCTTATATAAAGTATATAGCATTGCGCAAGTCGTTATCACCGGAATGAGGTCACAAAATGTGGAGGTTTCGTCCATAGTAAAAAATAACAAACGAACTCTCACTTTAAAAATTCGTAGCTCAAAAAGTACGTAAGCTAAAAAGTTCATTCTGGTTTCTTTTTTTTTTTATTTGAAATTTGCTCTAACTGTATTATTTAAACAATTATTTCAATTTTTTTAATATTTGTATTAAAGTACCTATCGTGTCAACCAAGATGGCGGTCATCACTGGACGTTTTCTAATAATTAAACCCGACCTACTTTTTTTGCTATGTATAGCCCCAGTACCGGCTATTATTTTGCTAATGTGGCCCAGACATTATATTGGAATTGAATATGAGCCATAATTTGCTGATTGGTTTGCAAATTATCCCGTACAAAGTGTCTATATGTCCGATGACCGGACGAGATATTCGCCCCATGACCAAGTCATGTGACCACCGTAGCAAAATTGTGCAAGATATTTGTCCGTCAGCCTTATCACGTGACCGTAAATAGGAAAATGGTGTCAGAGATGCATGTGGGCGACGAGTTTATTTCATTTCATAAATATGGGGGGGGGGGGGGTATAGAATAAAGAAATACTGAGAGCGAGAGAGAAAGGATAAAAATGATAGTTAGGGGGATAAATAATTAAAGCAGGGAGTAGGTCGATAGTTCACAAAGAAATAGGGCCAATATAGTGTGCTGCTGGAGTAGCCTGCTTTTCTCGCAATATTAACTCTTTCGCTGCAGAACAATGCACACTGCGTTCATCCGCCAAAAGCACAGACAAATGCACTCTGCGCCATTTCAATATTTTGTTTGTTTCTTTGCTATTTCTCTGTTAAACCTTTTAAGAACAATTTTTAAATTAGACTTGTACACATAAGAGTTGTACTTCATTGTTTATTTGTTGTCATTGGAAGCATTATTTTAATGATTTTCTTCGCTTTTTACTATGGCTGCTCTAGGCCCTAGTAGGTGAGTAAGTTTGCTAGACAATTAACAGCTCAAAAATCTTTGGCATTGTTTTATACTATTTCTTTTGATAGTGAAGATGATTATTTAGATCTATCAAATGATTCCAATAATAGTAGTTTTAGAGGATTTGACTTGCAGAAGGGAAGATGAGGTATGCGTACATCATAAGGAATGGGGAAAAAATGGTTTAGCATATGATGTTTTCACATTTTACGGTTCTTTTTTGTAACTTATTTTATTTAAACTAAAGAAATAAGTTTTATAAACTATTATCTTTCATTTGATACCAATTTTAGTCTTATAAACAAAACAATAGTAGTTTAAATATTTTTTAATAAACCCAACCTCCCACCCCTTTTTGGCTCTTCGAAAAAAAAATGTACATTTTTTTCGATAAAAAAATTCTGCAGTGAAAGAGTTATTAGCCTAAAATAAAACTTTTTTGACGTAGGAAGTAGTTATCTGGTGGGTATTGGTCTTATTTTGTTTGGTTGATATTTTAAATATAGGCTACTATGTAGAGATTTTTTAAGATATTTAAATCAAGATAACAGACTTTTTTGTTTTTTTAAAGAGTCTAATTCAAAAAGACTAGTATATAGACCTACTAGTATTATAATAGTTTTAATTCAAAGTCAAAAGCTTATAATACACTTTATGTATCTCAGAGCATTTGAAAGTATTAGCATATTCAGTATTTGTTTATTATATAGGGATCGGCTGATATATATACACAATATTGGAATATCATAGACAATGCACTATTTTGCTGGCCACTTCTTGTCACATCACATGTCTGCCGGAACCATAACACTTACTAGTCGTAAGAATATCTCTCTCACTATTTGTCCGTATGTCAGACGTGTAGACACTTCCTTTTTTGATTTAAACAATGGATAATGGTAGAGAATTGTCATTTAAGAAATGGATAAGGGTGTTACAAATACTAATGTGTTATGTTCACACTTTTCATTGGCAATGGCCCACTAGGGTGTTGTGTGACTAGCACAGTGTCCAGTCGATCTTCATACGTTGGCACTAGGTCTAAAGCCTCTAATAATAGTAATATATATATTGTAGGCATACAGAGTCAGTCACTCATTGACCAAAGCCAGTACATAGCCAGTTGGGCCGGGGTGGTTGGCATACCTTTTGATTTTCTTAGATTAATTAAAATAATTTTTATAATGCAATGAAAATCTGCACCTAAGGCGAAGCCTGAAAATGCTGCCCGCCCCCCCCCCCCCCACCCCCCCCCCAGGGCGGGGTGGTTGGCATACCTTTTTATTTTCTTAAATTAATTAAAATAATTTTTTTAATGCAATGAAAATCTGCACCTAAGGCGAAGCCTGAAAATGCTGCCCGCCCCCCCCCCCCCCCTCCCTGTTCACACAGCCCTGACGTCATAATAATCATAGTCTTGACTTTTTCTTCGGATTTTAAATTTCTGCATGTTTTAGCATGGGATATTTCAATCATTTTGAACGGTAGACATTCTTCCAATGCCGGTAATTTAATATATGACAAAATCACCAAAACAATGTTAATTAGGACAACTTTTATTTTCAGAATTTAATTTTATGTTTTCAGTTTAATTTGAGCCAATACAATGACACCCTAGGTGGCGAAAATGGGCTCACTATTCAGAAGTGAGGAGATGCGGTTATGCCAGATGTTCTTGCAGACAGAGGCTGCCTATGCATGTGTGTCAGAGCTTGGTGAACTTGGCTTAGTCCAATTTAAAGACGTGAGTTTAATGTAGCAGTAACTGCTAATTTTCAATTAATTTTTAGATATTTATGACAAAAAATCCATATTTAATCCTACATACAAGTTTGTTTCACGCAATAGTTTGAAAATATTTTATTTAATATTTGCTAAAGTTTTTTTAAGAATATTTGTTCTAAATTTTTGGGAAATATTACATATGTTTTCTCTAGTCTGCATCTGAGATTTTTATTAAAAATTTGTATGTATTTTTGCTATAGTTGAACTCCAAAGTGAATGCTTTTCAACGTACCTTTGTGGCTGAAATTCGTAGATGTGAAGAAATGGAGCGTAAACTACGTAAGATTTTTAACTCCCAATTCATGTACGCTAAAAATAGCTTCCAAAGTTTCAATTCATATTAGAGACAAATAAACTAATTAAACTAAAATTTGCTTAGACTAACAAATGTGTGAGGTAGATATTTTAATAAATATTTCAGCATATATTTGTACACTCTTAAAGAAGAAAGGGATTTATTTTAATATTGTTCATAGACTTTCAACTACTTATAGCTCCAAATGTGAATTATTAAATAAAATGATATAAATTTATTCCCCATAATTTCCCTGACAGGATACACAGAGAAAGAAATACTAAAGGAACATTTGAAAATTCCAGATAACCGTGAAAACCCAAAAGCTCCAGCGCCTAAAGAAATGAATGACCTAGAAGTAACCTGTTCTTTAATTTATTAATTATGTTACTAATATCTTAATTATTCCCTTAATTTTTTTTCTGAAATATGATTCCATTGGTAATTTACTTAACTTCAAAACTATACATTTAAATTTTGAACACTTTTAGGTTGAGTTTGAAAAGATGGACACTGAGTTACGCCAAGTAAATACAAACAATGAGGCCCTCAAACAGAATTACTTGGAGCTAACAGAATTGAGAGAAGTTCTTACCAAAACTCAGTTCTACTTTCAAATGGTAAACAAAGTCAAATACATTTTTAATCATTTGCACTATTTAGAGTCAATTTCTTAACATATTACTGTTTTTATTCAGATTAAACATATTTAAATTTAAAATAAAAAGCCATTTTAAAAGAGCTTCTCAGTCCTTTTGATAAAATATTAGAAGCTTAATAATATGGTTTTAGATTTATCTATTTTATTTGTGTTATAGAGTGCAGGTTAAATAATCTTTTTTCTTTTTAAAGTGAGTATGAAGGAATTGAAATGCAAACATTAAACAAAACATCATTAAGTTGTATTTGACGCTGATTTTAGTCAATGTTTTTTTTAACTAAATTGTAAATTTCTTTGATAAACTTTCCAGTATGGTCAAGATATTCAGCAGATGATGGAAGAAGAGACCTTGGGGCAACATGAAGAAGCAATCATTGGTAGACAGCAGCAGACTGCAGCACTTGGGTATAATCAATTTATGAGTTATTTTTAAAGACATTGGTTAATCTATGAGTTTATTAAAGAATTGATTGGTAGATGTTATGTTTTTTGTATCAAATGTTGAATCACTTTTAATGATGAGGCCTAGCCGTATTGATTTAATTTTATTAACATATTATGCACTAGCTTTTTTAAAAAAGTACTTTGAGCTGTAGGATTTAAAATATTCTATACTGACATAAGCAAAGGTCAAATGCTAATTTAAAAACAGCATATTAATGTACAGTGGCAAATATATATTGGTGCAATTAATTTTTACATTATCCAATTATTTGAATTAAAATAGTTATGTTTTTTTTCAGCTTTTTTGTGGGAACAGTTTTAAGAGAAAAGGTTCCAGTTTTTGAACGTGTCATGAAGTTTGTCACTCACAGTACTGTCTTTCTGAGAACAGAAGAAATAGAGCGTGCTTTCGTAGATCCAATTTCTGTAAGTTTCAGCTTATTTTTGACCATACTAACACTGTGTCTGCTTTTTTTTTTTTTTTTTTTTAATGTTATGTGAATTTACTTTGTTTACTATAAAGTAATTGAAGGATTATCAAGTCTTATCTTTGTGACAGGGGGATGAGCTGCGCAAGTGCATGTTCATTGTTTTCTACCAAGGTGACCAACTAAGGAATAAAGTCAAAAAAGTTTGTGAAGGGTGAGTCTGGAGTGAGAATTTATATCGCAAAATCAAAAAAAATAATAATTTGGGTTTACCCATGCTCACAATCTTGTGGTTGGTAACCATTTAGAGAGGAAGGGGGTAGAAATGGATGTTTTGAATTGAGGAATTCACAATATAGAAGCTATTTTATCTTTGGTTGTTTCAGAATGCGAGGTACCATTTACCCCGTTCCTGACTCTCCACAAGAGAGAGCCAATATGCTGAATGGTGTTAACACACGGATCGCTGACCTGGATAATGTAAATATTTCAGTATACTGTCAAAATAAATATCTATCGATGAGTAAACGTAAAAAAAATGTTTGTTTGCATGCATATTAAACTTATGCCAATTATTGCCTCTGAAAATTTCAGGTCTTGCACCAAAGCAATGAACATCGCCTCAGAGTGTTAAAAAATGCACAGAAAGAAATCAGGTCCTGGACCATCAAGGTAGAGAAGATCAAGGCTATCTATCACACCATGAACATGTTCAAAGTTCACCAGAACAGTCTACATGCGGAGTGCTGGTTCCCAGCTAAAGCAATTGATGACATCAGGAGAGCCCTCAACATTGGTGAAGTATGTTAACTTTTATCACCGTATCTTTCTCCTTTTATTTAAACAATAATATTATTGTCTTGGAAAAAAATATGTATGTTTATTTATAACGATATAAATATTTGTTTTCAGGGGATCACCCATTTAAAAAATTTAAGATTTAGTTCATTATCAACATTGCATAAACGAAATGTTTCTTTGCTATGAATTTTCAGAAAATTAGTGGTAGCTCCATTCCAACTGTCATTCAGCCAATGGTAACAACTGAGGCCCCTCCAAGTTATTACAACTGCAACAGGTTTGTCAAGGGTTTTCAGAACATTGTAGATTCCTATGGTGTGTCTACTTATGGTGAGGTCAATCCAGGTCAGTATTCTTTTTTTTTTTCTTTTTAAAATTAAAATTTTATATAAATAATAAAAACCAATTTAGTTAGCTATATTTACAAGAGTTAATTTCAAACAATAATTAAAGCTATTAACATATGCATTTTTTTTTAAAATTTACACTTCAGGAACTTGAACTTTTTTATCAACAGTTTTGTTCATTTACATTTTTCGTTTTTTCAGCCCCCTACACTATCATCACCTTTCCTTTCCTGTTTGCTGTCATGTTTGGTGATGCTGGTCATGGTTTGATCATGTTTCTGTTTGGACTTGCCCTAGTGATTAAGGAGAAATCTATTGGTTCAAAGAAATTGAGCAATGAGGTATTTTTTATATCTAAATGACTTGATTCAATAAGTGTATTTATCTATTAGAATTTAAAGAAAAGAAAAATTACTTGAGGTGTAGCTTTGTTCATTTTCTGGTACAAGAACCCACATAAGAGCTATATATATAATATATATTGTGCTTATTCTTCAGATTGCAAACACATTCTTTGGAGGGCGGTACATCATCATGTTGATGGGAGCATTCTCTATTTACACTGGAATTATTTATAATGATTTCTTTTCCAAATCTGTCAACATTTTCGGCTCTCAGTGGCACCCAGTTATTAAGTAAGCATGTATTTTAAAATTGGAGTTTATGCAAAACCATCTACATTTATTCTAGAGTGCCTGATTCAATTATAATTATTATTTTTAAGTTATTACATAATGTGCATAGAAAGTATTCATTTTTTTTTTTTACAGAGATGAAGAATGGGAGTCAGAGGACATCCAGCTTAATCCAATAACTTCCCACTACAATCTCACAGCATATCCCATAGGTGTTGATCCGGTTCGTGGCAAGCTGTCATTCATTTATTTATTTTCTCACCTTTTGTTAATTATTTCATGCACTTTTTGTGTCAGGCTGTCATTGATTGACAATTATTCTTTTCCATTTTGTAAAATTTTAATGCATTTTCCAGTTTATGATGATAAAAGAGCATAAATTCCTTTAGAAATAGATCTTTTCCTGTTTATGAAATTAAATTACATTGCTTTTATTTTACATGAACTATTAACTTGAATTTTTTGCTAATTTTCAACCTGACATATCTTCTTAAAAATTAATATCTTATTTGAAAAGTCTTGTCCATCCATTTTCAACAGATTTGGCAGGCATCTATGAACAAGATCATGTTCCTTAACTCCCTGAAGATGAAAATGGCTATCATTCTTGGTGTCACTCAGATGCTTTTTGGTATTGTCCTTCAGATTTTCAATCATGTGTAAGGGGTTATTAAATTTTGATTTTTTTATAAACAAAAGTCCAAAGTAAGTGAATTTTTTAAATAGCTAAAATATTAAAATTACCATCTCACTAAAAACTTTTGAGTGCCATAGTCAAAGAATACCTGATGTTTAAACATTCATACCCCCACCTCAGTGATCAATAAATGTACTCACCATGGATGCTAACAAAATTGCATTCTGAATCAAGCAACCATTGCCTAAAGCAAGTCGTTATAGTATAACTGCCAAATAATGTGGAAAGTGAACATTTACAAATAATTATTTTTACTGATTTAAAAAAAAATTAGTTCAAAATTCTACAATGCACCCAATAAAATCTAAAACCACTTTATTGTAGCTAGTATTCTTGTTTTTTTTCTCTCGACTCGGAATAATCAATGTCATTATATTTGATGACATATTTAAAATATGTGTGACATATGCTCTTTTATTCTCAACAGGCACTTTAAAAGTTACATCGACATCTTCATCCGCTTCATTCCTGAGTTTCTCTTCTTGGGCTGTTTGTTTGGTTACTTGGTGTCTCAGGTCATCTACAAGTGGCTTAAATTTGATGCCACTCTCTCCCATTGTGCACCTGCCTTGTTGATCCGTAAGTTCTTTAAAAATTATGTCTTTTATAACATTTCTAAGCTCAAAGTACATTGGAGGCAGTGAAATGTAAATTATGTGTTTGATTTAGGAGAACTTTATTTATATTCAAGTGATTACCTTCCACACTCCATATCATTAATTTTTTTGTCACAGATTACATCAACATGTTCATGTTCAAATATGAGTTTCCATCCCCTGATAAAGAAAAATGTGACCCCAACCTTGTTTATTATGATGGACAGGTAAATTTTTGCACCTTATCTGGTTTTTTTAAAACATGCTTATTTTGCAAATTTGATTTGCATACCTATCATTGGCAGTGTATGGTATCTTTGCTAATTAATTTATACTTTTTAGATTTAAAAAAAGAGCTCTGATTTAATTTTAATTTCTTAGAAAAAAACAAAGCTATATCACAACCATAAAATAAATATTAAGGAAAAAAAAATGTTTTTTCTATAATGATCTTGTAAAAGTGTCTGGTTTTTTTCACAGGATGGTGTGCAATATGCCATGTTCTTTATAGCCATTCTTTCTGTGCCTGTTTTACTGATAGTCAAGCCAGTTTATTTGATCTGCAAGAAAAAGGGAGACAAAGTAAGTCATTTTCATTCCTAAAACATGGTTCATTTCATAGGTGTGTTAAAATTTTGAAATTAACAAAGGCTTCGTTAAAACATGTTAAAATAGAATTACACCTGTAATTTGATTGTGTATGTATTCCAGATTCTTTTTAATGATTTATAACTGAGTGCCCTTTGATCCCTTACATTGTTCCTTGTATTTCAGCATGGCCACTCAGATCATGCTGCATTGATTCACAATGAAGTTCCTCCAGGAAACGTAAGTTGGTTGTTCTTAAGAGTTAAAAATTTAATGATGAGATTTCAGCTCTTATTTTCTCCCAAAAATGTTTCTGTGCACCATTCTTGAATTAGTCACTTTAATACAAAAGATTGTTTATAAAATAATCTTTAATAGATTTTGTAAACTTATTACAAACTAAAACAAAGATCACAATCCTGTGAAGATGTAATTGACACATTCATCGTCCCATCATGCAACTGAATGTACTTGTTTGACCATGTAAACTGCATCATGACTTTCCGTGTAGAAATCCATTGGTCACATTACCCTCCTTTTTAAAATTTATTTTATTGCTCTATTGAAATGCACTGATGTTTTCATTTATATTTTCATGTAAATTGTCTTATTAAATCCTTACATTTCACCAATACATTATTTAAAAAGGCAATTGCACTTATTTTACATATTTTTTTTATAAGGACTTATTAACCGATGATACCCTATGATTTTGTAAATCCTGGCATCCAATTCACACATACCCTCCCTAAACACAAACCATAACTTTGATAAACCCTAACAAATGGAACATACATCTTGTTTATAATAGTAGGGTCAACTCTTGGTGACTCAGATCTCAATCTCTCACACTTTACATGATAGTTGATATGGAGGCTTCAATATGTTAAGAAATTGAGATAAAAAATTATGTACACATTATTAGAAGAATTTATTTTGAGTTGACTGTTCAGTTTTTAAAAGTGACAAATCTAAAATTTAAAAAAAAACAAAAAACATTGGTCGTTAAATACAATAACCTTCATATGTGTGACTGAGAGAAACTTGATAATGTTTAATGTATAAACAATGTGCATCTAAAAGCTTGACATCTAAAGAGACATTCTTTATCAAAATATTTACCCCAAAGGAAACTGCAGTTCTAGAAACATTTTAACTTGTTTGTAACTTTTTGGAATGGTTTTTTCCAAGCCACATTTGGGTGGTGCATCCTTGAACTCAATACCCTTCCATTCTTAATTGGAATTTTTCAGGAATGGTGTTCGTTTTGCTTTCTACTAATCCTTCAGTAATTGTTAGTGTCGTTGTGGAAAAACAAATAAAATTTTAACTTATCTGGGGGAGGAAAGGGAGGGGTGGGGGGAATGGATAATCTTCTGAACTTATGCTTATGGTTATATTTTGGTATACTGTGTGAAAAGAAAGACATTTTATAACATGCCAGAGGAGATCTTTTAATGTTACATATCTTCTATGCAGCATTAAGAACAAGTGTCATAGAAGGTGTCTGTATTCTTTAAATGCATTTAAGCTGCATATAGCTTCGTTTTAGTTTAAAAGGATATTGTTCGCAGTTTTAAAAGCCTTGAAATTTTATTGGATATGGCATAATTTAACAAAGCTATTGCTCAACTACTTGCAACAAGATGGGTATAACATATCCCTCATGATTTCTGTACATTACCTTTAAACTATTTATGTAGCCTCAAACCCCAGTTGGTGGAAAGGGTGTGGTTAACCCTCTCCATTACCAGGGGGAAGTGGAGTTAGGGGTAAGTTGATGCTAGTCATTGCACTGGATCTGCCCTGGGTTGGTCCATTTTTTAATAGTGCCCTACCCTTCATTATGTATTTTCATCATGCATTTCTTTTTATTCATATATTACAATTCCCATGTATTACATGCATATTTCCCCCAATTTTTCCCCAGGGATTGAGCCTAGAAGTATATATTTCATGCATTTGTTTGTCTTTATAAAACATAATAATATAAATGTGTTTACATGTCACGCTAACATTTTAATAAAATATAGGTTGTGTGAGCTAGTCTCTTAAATACTACTTAAATATTTGTAGATCCTAACTATATATAAAAGTAGTTTATGAGTGTTTCCAATATTATGGTCATCATATATACAAAAAACATCTTAATTTTTAATATAACTTGACTTCAGTGTATGGTAAATTTGTTCTCGTGATGAATATTTTAATACTTTAATCAACTTTATTGTAAAATTCTAATCAATTTTTTTTTTGTATTCAAAACACTTTTAAACGTTTTTAAAATATGATACGTCATTAAACAAATTAAAAACTAATTTTAAATACTAATTCTGTAGCATGTTAAAAATAATTGCTACCAGCCATTTTCAAAATCTTACTGAATATATTTAAGTAAAATAGAATAGTTATTGACACTAAAACCCAGCTTAATTTTTTTAAACTTAATATACCCCTGTGTATTTTGTGATTTCTATAGAAGTAATGTATCAGTCAAAGCGCCTGAAAGTATAATCTCTTAAACAGGATTTTTGCCAGGGTCCCAATTTTTGTATTCATTCTCCTTACTCCACCAAAGGAAATCTTTCTTATTAAATATTCTTGATATGAGTTTGCAGCCTCTATGTACCTACTGTGAAAAGGGCTTATGTGAAATATATTATCAGATCTCTTCCTTCTTTGCCTGCCAGCTCCCACGTACTTTGTCAATGAATGTGCTTCTTTATCCAGAAGTATCTGACAATTATGTTTATACACTATGTACAGATATTGTTACAGATTCAGGATTGTCAATTCACTATTAGTTCATGTCAATGTTATCCTCTATATTTTACTATAAAATACATCTAATTAGTTTATGTATTCACACAAATAAACACAGACGAGAAGAAAATCTTTTCAAGATTGACTAAACAAGTGACAATAAATTTTCGTTTCATAAATCCAAATTACTCAATTAAACTATACCATTTTAGAAAACAACTTATACCAGCAATTCACCTTTGAACACACACAAAAAAAAACTTTGTTAATAAACTAAAAACCTGGCCACGCAACCAAACTTCATATATTATATTAATCTATTTTTGTTCTTTTAATTGAAGAATTTCATGCCCCGAACTTTCTATTTTTTTGCATTACTTTCTGTAATTTCCCTCATTTCACTGTCCTGAAAAAAAAATGAATTATGTTGTGCTTTTACACTTGCAAGAATTGCTTTTAAATGTTGGTACATGAAACAATAAACAGGGACGGAAAAAAACGTTTATAAAATAGACACTAGCTTTGCACACGGAAGTATGTTTGTATTATTTGTGCTGGGAAAAACTTAAAAATAAATGATTAGAATGCAAATAAATATTATATTAACATTTTATAAAAAATATTTTATTGCCTAATACAGTTTGTTGGAGATTTCATATATTTACATAGTCTTTATTTTAAAATAGTTAACTCCATATAATTTTTTAAAACTTTTTATTAGCCTCTTTTTCATAATTATAAATATTTTAAAATTATCAGGAACTGTTTAAATAATTTCTTAAATACCACATAACATATTGATTGGTTTAAAATTTTATAAAAATTATTTTTACAGAAGCTACACATTTATTAGAAAGTATAAAGAAATTTTAAATATTTGAAAAATTGCAAAGTAACATTAATTTCCAAGGTAGTTAAATTTTAAATATATTAAACTAACTTAGAAAGTTTTATTTATTTTTAATTGGAGGCACCAATCAATACTTTGTTCACATTTGCCTTTTCTTTTTTTTTTTTTAATCACCTGATTATTTAGCACCAACTCTTTTCATGTTTGTTTTTTATTTTGAGTGCTAATGCCTTTCCCCCTTGTGGCCCTTGCATGTTTCTTACAGCAAGTCAACATGAGCTTTGAGCATGACAATCACGATGGTCTAGGCAATGGGAGAGCTAGGGTAGGTCATTGTCCCTTAATATTTTTAGAAGACATGTGCAGCCATGAACTTAAAGCCATAGACAGGTCTATGTGGTTTGAATAACCTTGTATCCTCTGCAGAAGTAACCTACCAGTTATAATTCCAAGATTGTTTTTTTATAATTTATTACTATTTTAAGTTATATGCTGGAGAGCAGCACTAACCATTGGCTCTTACAAATTGAAGTGATTTAATTTTTTTATTTTATTTGAATGGATATATTACACAATTTTCTGAATTAGAAAAAAAAATCATCAGTATTGAAGGAATCTAGCTACTTTATTCACACTGTTTTGATCTAGAGTGCAGCGATGTGATGTGTTGCATCTTGTTTGCTCTGCTTGTGCTTGCACATCACCAGCATGCAGGACTTGTTCTTTTTAAATCATTATTTGCAATTGTGGTGGGTGTGGATGATCAATTCTATTTTTGATAAATATGGTGGTGTCCTTTTTCTTTTCTAAATATTGTATGGTTGCTTGATGTTTTAATAGATTAGTGGGTTTTCTTTTTGGTCCTTGTAAAAAATGTTTTACTTTTTTCAGTGTTTCCCACCTTTTAAAAATTCTTTGGAATATTTATTTTGTGAGACGTGTTTAAGTCTGCCCAAATTGTTTTGGTCTTCACCCTGACACATTCCAGTTGAATCCATATGTTTCCTCACCACCCCCTCCCCCAGCACCCTGCTGACATTATCATTCACTTCACTATTTAGATGGTTGTGTTGTTTCAATATTTTTTGCTATGTTTATGCCTCACACTTACTATCCAAATCAATATGTCCTTTTTGAATTCATATTGCATTAACAGGAGGAAACCACCCATGGAGTGACTATAAATAGTGATGATGAGGAAGGTCATGGGGAAAAACATGATCATGATGAGGTAGATATTGTTTTATTGAAAGGAAAATTATTTAAACTAAGCACTTAATAAAAAAAATTTGTTAAAAGAAATATTGGATTTCAAATCTTTATGTGTGGAGTAAATTAGAGTCCACAGCTGATTCATTTAGAGGTGGCACTATGAAATATAATTTTATACACTATCATTTTTACAGGATTTTTAAAGAAAAAAACATTTTAACTAGAAAAGCTGACAGCTAAAACCACATAGACCAAACATTACTAAAAACCCAGGAGTTCCATTCTATTTTAATTTGTTACATTTAAATATGTATTATTTAAATTAAAGTAAATAGCGCAAGGTCATAATGGCTCAATGCTAGACAAATCTAAATTAAGACTTCAATGGCACAATCTAAATTAAGGTTAAGGGCTTTAAATTCATATGCATTTTAAATGCCTTAAAAGCAATTTACAAATTTAACTTTTTGAACTTCAGCATAGTACTGGTGAGATAATTATTCATCAAGCCATTCATACCATTGAGTTCTGTTTGGGTTGTATTTCACACACTGCATCATATCTCCGACTGTGGGCTTTGTCTTTGGCTCATGCACGTAAGTTGCCTTTTTTATAGTGTGGAAGGGGAGGGGGGGTTGTTATCATGTTTCCATTATGTGGCCATCAGGCAGCGGAAGTTGTAATGATAATTCACCCCACCCCGTCACCAATGTTCCCTTTAAGCTGCACGGCCGCGCAGCTATCTCACAGACGCTGCGCAGCAGTTTTGAGTATACGCGCAGCAAATTTCTATGTAAGTGTTTGTTGTATTTGTGGGCTGTAAAATTTTGCACACAAAAAAATCGATCCTGTAAAACTATGCACACAACTGTATAATTTTGCACACGAACCAGCAAACCTTAGAGGGAACATTGCCCGTCACCCCCTGAATTATTTTTTAAAATATATAGCATAAAAAAGGAAAGATGAACTTTAAAAAAACATTTTAACATATGCACGTCCTAACATTTGGTTGTCTTCAAGGTAAAAGATAATAGATGTTTCAAATTTAAATAATTGAGATAAGAAGACAGAGTTTAACTAAACAACTTTCCTTCCATGTATTTTGTGCACTTTGATGTTTTGAGATTGTCGAACTTTTTAAACCCTTTTTTTTTTAATGAAAATTTGCGTTTTCAATTTATTTAGTATCATTTGTTTTATTTCAACAGAATTATCTGAGGTCTTATGGAACATGGTGCTTCGACTTGGCTTGACAATGGGTGGTCGATATGTAGGCGGCCCCATCATCTTTGTTATCTTCTTCATCTGGGCCAATCTGACTGTGGCCATCCTATTGCTGATGGAGGGCTTGAGTGCTTTCCTGCACACACTTCGTCTTCACTGGGTCGAGTTCCAGTCTAAGTTTTACATGGGTGAAGGATATCACTTTCAACCCTTCAGCTTCAATTTTATCCTCAACATGCAGTCTCTAGAAGAAATTTCTGCCTAGATCAGATGGGCCTGCATGTCTTAATGGTTTGAGTTATCATCAAAAGTTACCTCTAGATTTCTAAATGAGAAATTTTAATATGCCAACAAGTGCAGATGATTATGAATAGTGATATTTTTGTATAAACATTCCATTTGCAGCTGATTTTACCGTAAAGATTCTTTAACCAATTGGCAAACAAATATATTTTTTTTAAATGTTAAAAGAAAACTATGGTGTCACATCAGATCTGAAATGTATTTGATGTGCAAAATTAAGAGCAACTTGACCATTTCGTTTTGGAATAGTTATACATTCTGTTTACCTATATATTATATATTTATTGATATAACCAAGTTATTTATTATTATTTTTCAATTTAACTATTTAGAAATTTTACTTGTAAAACTTTTGAAGAATTAAAGTATTTTATAGCTCCATTTGTGTGTTATCAACCTGGAATCTTCTTGAACTTTCTGTTTTTTGAAAGCATATACTTAAATACTAGCAATGCTTTTGCTTTTAATTCAATGCAAGACCTTTATTATCAGGAAAAAGCAGCTAAAAAAACATTGAGTTTATTTAAAGTAGGGAAAAAAATCATTAAATTGATGTTTACCAAAATGTAACATAAATTATTCCATCTGATGCTGATTGTTCTTGTGTTCACCCTTTCAAATTAACTGGTGATGTGTAATGAATGTAACATCACATCAGGTGCATTAAATGATCTGCAAGTTGGGGATGTCACCAAATTTGTACTTCTCTTATGTTTTTGGATAGATATACAAAACATGAACCAAGTAAAAACAAATTTATTTTAAAATTAAAAATGTGTAAAGGAATATAAATGTATAGTTCATCATAATCAAGTAAATGGAAAGAATATTTTTTAATTAAATTTTAATTATCATTATTAAGATTATTAACAATATATTATAATTTAGAACATATTACATAAATTGTTTCATAAAATATTTTTCCTAAGGTCCATTCCAAAAGTTTGTGGAAAAAAAACATATATGAATATGTCCATGTAAATCATTTTTAACTGAAATATTTTAGTGTCATTAAAAATATTTTCGTTAAAGACTACATTAGCGTTATTTGTTAGCCAACTTAAAGAACATTTTATTTATTTTTTTAATTTGGTGTAAGTTGTTTGTCAAACTTCATCATTCTTTTTGTTCCAATATGGGATATAAAATGTCCATTACATAGTTTAAAGTGCCTTAATCTAAATATTATCACTAAAAATATTTCCAGGTCTGTGATTGAATTTGATAACTATAACATTTAGCACAGTGCTGAGATTTTACATTGTCTTCCAAACAATAAATAGAAATTATAGTTGCAAAGATATAAATTGTTTTTGTGTTGCTATGTTGTTGCTGTTTTTTAAAGAGTAAAATTTCAGAAGTGCAAACATATTGCAAGTTAATCAAAACATTTTGACTATAGAATCACAACCATTATTGTGGAACTTTTAAGGCATCAAAGAATTAGATACAACTTATATAATATAACCATGGTATATTTACAATTAAGGTGTAATTTTAATTTTTCATCCTCAAAGGTTTTATTTTGAGTTTACTGTAATATGTAAATTTGAAAATTTGCACTCTGCTTTATACAAATAAGTCATTCATAGTGACTTTTAAAATAGGTGATGATTTTATTGTGTAGAAGGAGCTCGGTTGGTCTTGTGATGCTCATGGATTTGACACGACTAAAAATGTACAATCAGAATGTTTTCGCTAATTAAGACAGATTGTTTCAACATTATGTTTTAGAAAATCCACAGTTTTATTTCGTGTTCTTGTAATTTGGATTGCAAGTGCTTAATTTAGCCTTAGGAACTCAATTACAATGAAACCAATGCTGTGAAATAATGCTACGCCCATTGATTTGGAAATCTTAAATAAACTGATTTATAATTAAAAGTCAGTCTTTCAAAAATATTTTTTTAAATAATCTAGAAATTAGTGTTTCATCATTTTCCTGCTGGTAAACAAAATGGTGGTAGGAAGAGGGGGGATTTTTTTGTTTGTGCTATTTCATTTAATATGAATGGCTTTTGTTAGGGGAGTAATCTTAATATTATATGTTGTTTTTTTGTGAATAAGGGGCAATAAAGACAACGATTGCCCAAGGTCCCAAACACTACTGGTAGTGGGTGGTATTTCTTTAATTAGGAGGGGGTAGCTGTGATCTGGTCAGGTGTCAGGAAATTATCAATTTAAACGAAAGAATTTGACAAAATTACTTTTTAAATTTTTTATTTGTAATTATTAAATTATTTCAACATTTAGCAAGCTAATTTATAATTATTTTCTAAGCAGATATAAAAATACTGTTTTTTATTTCAAATAAGTCATGTTTACATTACATCAGAAACATGCTAATGTTAACGTATGAAAAGGGCATGGTTATAAACATTATTTATTAGTCAACATCTAATACTGTTGCTAGCATATAAATTATTTTATTTGGCTGATCTCATCTTTATTCAATTTTGAACATGAGGGTATAATGATCCTAAAATAAGAGTTTTTTAAATGGTTTGAAGGGCACCTTTCTGCTTATTATATTTTAAAGTAACAAAATAGTCACAAGTAATACAAATAAATAAAATACATTTGGTTTGTGCACACGTATATCTGTGGAATCAATCGATCCCTATTGTAAGGGTAAGTTTACAGGTAAGTGAAAAGTAGTTTTGTGCTTTCATAATTTAGTATGTAGTCAGTATCTGAAGGTCAATATTTGTAAGAATTTTTTTCACCAGCATTTTTTTTTTTTTTCAGTTGATGCCAACGAACCATTAATGGTGAAAATTCAAAATAATTTGTTCAAGTCAATCAGTCCTTCAGCTCAGACTTGTAGCAGCAGAGCCACACCACCCAAAACCCATTTTGATGGCTCCAATCTGGTCTTGAGCCTGAACGTCCACACAAAGGTGGGGCCTCTTCCTTTGGTTTTGTAAACTGGGCAGTCATAGACTAGCCTCTGGTCGACCCTGTCCACAGGAATGGCTCGCAGGAAGATGACTGGCATTCTGGGAGTGAGTTCTTTTAGGTAGGACTCAGCTATGAATCCAGTCTGGAGATCCCAGCGAGCACCCTCCATATACAGTCCATGGACGTATGCACCTTCTCTTGGTGGGCCAGACATTTCTTCTTTAGTTTTTTTGGTTACATCACATTGCAGGCACATTCGATCTAAAGGCCATTCATTCTGTGGAATCAAATAGCAGATATATAATTTACTAAAGAATTGGCTGTGAAGAATTTCACCTTAAGCTAATCGTCTAAACATATAATAATACTCTATTTAAGACTTTTGGTATGAACTTATTGAATAAGTTTTGACATTTACTTGACAATGTTTTTAACAAAAAAAAATATAATAAAATTGCAATGTTTTCATAGCAAAATTTGATTTGGAATCAACCAGAAAAAATGTGTCAAATTTTAAAAACTTTTAATTAATGTTCAGCTTCCATTAACTTTTGTTTAAAACCACCTAGGTCTACATTTATACAATAGTGAAATTTGTGTGAAATCGGAAAGTATAAAATGAGGCCTCATTAGAATGATTTTTGTTCAAGAAAAATTGTAAGTCCTACCTATTTTACAGAGATGTCCATTACATAAGAATTTAATTGAAACTTTTTTTTTTCTCCCTCCTCAAAAGTTTGGGCCACATACAAATATTGTGATCAAATCATCATAGATCATATTTTACTTTACCTTCCTGGCTGTTTGCTGCATGATGGCTGTAAGGAAACTCTGCGGGTTAAAGAATCCACCAAGCCACACACTGGCTGGCAGGTTAAAATCACCAATCCAGTTTTCCAACTCTCTGGCTCGTTGGATCATATCCCCATACCTGCAATGTGTATTTGTTAATTTTTAGTTGCCCTGTTTGAAATTAGAAGCCATGGCCTACACTTATTTCATTGATCTTTCATTATACAACACCTTGAGTTGTCAGTTGACCTCTAAGGTTAAATAATTAAACAGTTTGCTATGTAACACTGAGAACATATGAGGTTACATTTTCAAACTTCTCTTTCAGAATTTTGTTCTTTCTTCAAATTTGCATAAAGTGTGGACTCAGTACATTTTCTATATTTATATTTCCTTTTTTTATTAACATGAAAATAAAAAATCTATTGAAATAGAAATAAATTAAAAATATAATATTTCCTTAAATCAATTCATAGTTAAGAGTGAATATGACCCACCACTGAGATAACTGGAACAGAGAAGGGTAGGCTTTCTTCTCCCATCTTTCAGGCACATTATTCAGAAACAGGGAGTTACTCAGGTTTTCCATTTCTACAGTGATTGTGAGTTCTCCCTGTTAACAGAAACAAGTGTTAAATCACTGGTTTAAATAATGGGTTCAATGCTCCACATGGATTGATATGTTTTTGATTATGGTTGCAATTCTCAACATGAACTGATCTGTGTTTGAATAAGGGTTCAATTCTCAAAGTGGATGGCTATGATTTTGATTATGGTTGCAATTCTCAACATGAACTGATCTGTGTTTGAATAAGGACTCAATTCTCAAAGTGGATGGCTATGATTTTGATTATGGTTGCAATTCTCAACATGAACTGATCTGTGTTTGAATAAGGGTTCAATTCTCAAAGTGGATGGCTATGATTTTGATTATAAAAGCTAAACAAAATTTAGAGTAGTATCAGCACTGGAATTTTTAAAAAAAATAATTTACTTCATGAAAATTAACGCATTTTAAAGAAATTTACCATAGTTACTGACACCCGTTCTTTATGTGGTAAGCAACCTGATTTTATGCTTTATTAGCAAATGGTTGGTGGTATGCAGATGACTTAAGTTGCAGTAGGTATCTTATCTCATACGTTGTTATTGTCTACTTGTTGAACTATCAAGAAACTCATGTGTGCCTGTATCTGCACTTTGCCTCATCTGGAAGGGCTCAGCTGACAAATGAATCCAGTAACTCAACCCCACAACTAGCAACTCAAAATTCACCTTGAGACCCAAGTCCAGTTCTTTCAGGGATCGCCTTATCTCTCCAGTCAACATGTTCATCCTCTCACATTCCTGGAAGGCCACCACCACAAACGGTGTCCTCTCATCAGGTGGAACCTTTTGCATGATCTCCTCAATGTTGAAAGGTTCTGGAAGTTTCTCTGATAGTTCATCAAGGATTTCTTTCACCTAATCAACGTTAGCATTAAATATAATGTGGTAACTACATGGCAGATTTTTTTCATAGAAACATAAATATGAATGGTTGATAAAGAAAGTATAAAGAGGAAACAAATTTTTAATAAAGAAAATTAAGTTCTAAGCACTATACAAATTATTAGGGATGAGATTCAGTTTCAGTGCTCATGATTGAGCCAATAATTATGGTTTGAAATGAAGACAGAAAATAGGAAGTCAAAGCAGACAACAGTTACACCTATTTTCTATCATCTGTAAAAATCAACAGTTACGTACCAACCACACCCCAATAACTCACCGTTTTAGGAGAATTGGTGAGTAAGGACATAAATATATTTTTAAAGGTTGAAATTAATCAACTTAACTTGTGTGTGTCAGCGACTCATAACATCCTCACAGACCTCATGCTGAATCAGAGTTGTGCTACCATTCAAGCAACAAGTTTTGCTAAAAGATGCTATGTATACTGTTTACTCACCCTAATGGGGTCAGAATAGTTCCTGAAAGATAAAGCCCTAAAATTTTCTATTGCTTTGGATTTTGGAATTTCTTGTATTGTTTTTATTATTTTGACATTATTAACAACTGGTTCAGTTATAATAGTCAAAATTTAACACCTGGTTCATCTGAACTAACCGGTTCCAGCACAGCCCTTTGTCAAAGGTATTAATAGATTGTTATTACCTTATCTTCTTTTGACACTGATTCTCCAGAGTCGCCTGAGGCATCTCTTGGCTGCATCTCAAAGACAGTTTTCAGTAAATTATCTGATGTCTTTGTGAGGAACTCGATCTCAGCATTGGGGTGCAGGCCGTATAAATATGGAGTCTCTGGTGGCAATTCTTCATCGATGTACTGGTGATAGCCTTCATAATCGGTGTTTGGGGGCACAGCAAACCCTGGTGCCAGGAACAGTTCAGAGTCAATCTAGAATACAATACAAACAAGTGGATTAAAGTTTTGGCATGATTCAAACATCTGTGTCATGAATGTGTAAATCAGAAAATGATTAATTTAAGTAATTTAAGGCACCTAGTCACTGATGTATTATTAATAAATACCTCACTTTCTGCCTAAGCAAGTGGTTCTGTACTATTTTATAAAATAGATCTACTTAGAAAATATTTAGGGAGCTGAGGTTTTTCCATGCAAAGATGTAATATGAATTTTTTTTTAAAGGGTAAAAAATAGAAATAATGTCTTGTAAAATAAATTCTTAACAGGCTTTTGTAAATATTTCTTTTACGGACACAGTGTCAACATTTAAAACAACAGTTTCACTATTCCACTGAACTCACCATGTCTTGATTCATGTAGACCTCCAGGTAAGTCCTACACAACTTTCTATCCCAATCATCAGTGATGTGACCGCCGTACATGATTTCACCAAACAAGTAGCGCAGGTCCTCCCATGGCACCTAAAGGAGTTTGCACAAATGTTCATTAACAATATTTAGCAGATCTCTGTTCATGTTGGTCATTCTGTTCATTAAAAATTCTAATCAACACCAAGTGAAATCAGAAATCAGTGTAGTTTATAATTAATTTTCTCACTGCTTCAAAGAACTTGTTATTAGTTACTTGCAATTTAAAATTATTAAGAAAAGACAATGTTTTCAAATGAAACAAAAATGACACGTGCTATTAGAGTAGCTTTCTTAAAATTTAAAATTGTTGCCACCTATTATGTAATTGTTTATGCCTGCCTCATTTTGCATCAAAATTCATCAATGAATTTATATCTAAATGAAATGTGTTGATTTTGAATCCTGAGATGGTGAAATATGATTAAAGAAAGATTTTAAAAGCTTCCTGTCATTTTGAGAATCAACATGTTTTATCTTTTTAGAAGATGTGCATCTAGATAAAAGTTGTTTTGAGCATATAGACCAACTAATAACTGTATTGTTAATGCATTAAAATGGGTCCTACCATGGAAGCTCTAGTCACACTTTGAGACTCTTCATCACAATACCCTAACTGTTAAAGAAATATAATCTGCTCAATGCTTAACAGTTATAATACACAGTACATTACTGAGCCAAACATTCAATGAGATGAGACATCACCTTGTTGTTAGCTTCCAGGTAGTTGTACAGTACATTGACACTGATGGTCAAATCTCCCACATTGAAAGGGTAAACCCTGTTCCAACCCTGGGCACCAAACTTCCTCCTCTCACATACTACAGCATGAAAGTAGCAAAGTGCAAACAAAACCGATTTGAATTCAATCTCTTTTGAGCACATTTCTAGGGTGTCCTGCAATAAACACATTACCATATATAAGTGAACATCAATTTATTTAAGACATTGTGTATCTTAAATATTATGTATCTTATTTTTTAGGTTTAGTCATTTACCTGAGTGAAGTTATCCAATGCTTTGTGCAAATTGGCAAACATGCCAGTTGGAGGTTCATTGGTAATTTTAACAGAAGATTCCAGAATGGCTTGTGGCATAATGTGATATTCTCTGGCTGCTGCTGGCTCGGCACTGATAAACAATCGATAGTTCAAGTGGCTTTCCTCCGAATATTGCTCTAATTTTTTCTCAAGACTGGGTAGCCATCTTGCCACAAGATGAACATTCTAAAATGTACAATGGAAATGAATGTTAGAAGTACGGTATAAAAATATTTTTTACATTTTTAGGGTGTGGTGTTGTAAACTGTGGAAAATGTCTCCTATGCTTTCAATTTGAAAACGTGCTGTTTCACTTTATGACAAATAACCAAATTTTGGGTTGATGTAGCCTTGTCAGCAGCTTCCATTAAAGACAATCCCATACTTCTGATAACATACTGGACCCCAGACAGGTTATAACATCTCCTGATGGCAGGTTAATGATAAAGAACTGGTGCAGAAATGTGAGATTGAACAATGCTCAAAGTAGTGTTAAAAGGTTGCTGTTTGCATTGGGTCTGCATAATAAATATTTCAAATGTCATCTCTTAACTCTTTGTATCATAACCAAGCATATGTGATATACTTCTAAATACATAATCATCAAACTGTTGTACATTGTAAATTCCCTACAGAAAATCTATATCTGTTTTAAAAACTGGTTTATGCTACCATTTCAAAAGACCTCATCAAGTTACCTGTAACACGACCCAGTGTCCTTTCTTGGCTGCAATGTCTATAGCTCTCTCAGCAACCACTTCCTGCCCCTGACCCAGGGAGATGTTATGAAGGTTTTCCTTGGCTGTGGTGTAGCCAAGCTTCTTACCCAGTTTCTCCACATCTTTCAGGGGGTCAACTCCAGGAGACAAGATAAAGAACATGGGGGTGGCTGGCCCCGATTCTTCAAATGATTTTCCAAACTCAACAGAGCGGTTCTCTACATATTTGCGTCCCATGGTTTCTTCTATAAACTGCCTGTGAATCCAAAGACAATTCTTTGAACAATGTCTATGCTCTTTAAACTGATATATAAATGAAAGCTCTATCATTAATGGTGTATTAAAATGATCAGAGAAAACTTTCTAGAATGATAGAACAATATAAGCATGACTTAATTTATTGTTATACAGTTTGCAAACAAGAATCAATCTTGTTTCAAACTGTATAACAATAAATTAACATGCGCAGTAAGCAATTTTAAAACATGCACATGGGGAAAAGCTTACGTCACGGCATTACTCATACGATCAGGTCTCAGTGCACGCATCATGCAAAGTTTTTCTATTAAGGATTTATTTTTCCATTCCTGTGGGAATTTTTCTTTTTCTGGAGCCTCTCCCTCTACAAATTTCTTCCATCTTTTGGCAGAGCCCAGGACATCTTTGTCCAAGTTTTTGAAGTTTTCTTTTTCAGACAAGGCCTGGGAATAAAAGATAGAATCCCATCAGAACAAAACTGGAAATAACTGTTTACTCAGACAAATTAGGGAAAAATAAGGTTTTATTTAGATGAGGTTTAAAATGCATGGCTTTTTTTTGGTTTCTAAACATAAATCCAGGTTTATATCATGACTTATTTAATATGTTCTTGTTTCTTTTTCTTACCTCCCTTGGTGTCTAGATGATGTCACTTTTTAATGATACATCATATCATAATGTATTGAGCCTAGTCTTTTGCTCAAACTGTTAAGTATATTTGACATATTATGTTGGAGAGAAGACAGCTGGGTCACTCAAATAAAGCTTTTTTTTCATTATTTTTTTTCCCCTAGTAATACAGGGCAATTATACTGTTAACCTTACATGGGGTGGATGAAATGTGTGTAACTAACAGACTAGTTGGCTAAAATACCCTGTAAAAGAAATTTCACTTTAGCTTTGACAATAAACATACAGTTGTTTTTTCCTACTAATTATATAATTTATTTAGCATGTATGCATTTGAAATCATTGTTGCCCTTTTCATTTCTTTTTATTTCATTGTCCGATGAGTTATTGTGCTTGTAATTTAATATATGAACTTGCAGATATGACATTATGCTAAAATGCAAAGCAATGTTTCATGAACATAAAGATGAAAAAACTTTAAATTCCTTTGAATACTAAGAATGCTTTGAATACTGAAGTGGATGAAGTGTTCAAATTTGCAGTTTTTAAAACTATATTTCTACATGTACCTTTATTCCTCCCCAGCTGAGATCATTAAGAAAATCTACAGGAGATGGAACATCTGCAGTGGCAGGATAACGCAACAGAAAATCCAAGGCATCAATGTCTATATCTTTTAATTGAGCCAAAATCTGAGGACATATTTTTGAAAATAGATTTAAAATAAAATATTTTTATTTCTGATAAAAACAGATTTAAAATGCTCTAAAATACAACAAATCTTCTTTCAGCTATTAGCTATACCATACAACATATCTTCTTTCGGTTATTAGCTATAACATACAACATATCATCTTTTGGCTATTAGCTATAATATACAACATTTCTTCTTTCAGCTATTAGCTATAACATACAACATATCTTCTTTCAGCTATTAGCTATAACAATTCTTGAAAACATCTCAATATGAGTTTCTCATTTGTTTAATTTTGTAAATCCATTTCCAGCAAGCTGTTTAATTCTTGTGAGGTTTTGAAATACAGTAAATCTGTAAATGAACTTATTGATAAAGATGTCCCTTCATATATGATGCATTTAATGTTGGCCTGTTGTTTTAAGATTTAGTAGTATGATGTGCTTTTACTTCACATCCTTAAAACAACATGTTATGATAAGAGATTAAGGACCTGAAATGTCATCATGGTTCCGAAAATGAGCTTGTCACGCTCAAATAGACCTCGTGTTGTGTAGACGTAGGTGGAGTACGTTATACAGTCTATCAGGTTTTTGACACGCTCTTCCTCTGTCTCAGCAGACTCTGCCCTGTCAATAGCCTTATCAAACACAACACTGAAAGCCTGTCAGATAAAGAAATATAATTTAATCAGTGGAAATGAGTGATTGTTAACTGAGTGCTCTGCATTTCCCCAAAATCAATATCGAATTATTGTCCAAATGTATCACCCTAAGATAAATAAAAGATATTTGAAGGAACTACATAAAACTTTTATTTGAGATACTATGGTAATTTTGTTACATATGTTAAAATATCTGATGGTTTTCCTCCTCATTCAGTCTAACTTAAGACTCATCTGGATTTTAACAATGCTTGCATTTTCTTTAACTTTTTTACCAGCACCGACTTCTTCAGAATCGTAATATTTTACAGCTTTTGTATTTCAAAAAATTAGTAAGCACACATCTGAAATCTCAGTTGTGTGTAATGACATCAAAACTTCACAGAGCAAGCTTACCTTCAGTGAAAACTGATACATAGGATGAATGCCATACAGATCATTTAGTATAAAATACAAGAGTGATGCCCTTGCAGAAACAGGTCTGTAGTTTTCCCTGGCCAGATTGATCTCAACTTCGGTGATTTTAGCTTCTGCCGACTTGGCTTCAATGTCTGCTGCTGTACGTTTCGTTGTCTCCAGATTTTCCACCAAGGCATAATCTCCCAGAAAGTTTCCCTCAGCTGTTGACAGCCTTGCTAAAAGATTATCTTCCAAACCTGCAAGGTAACAAATTTATATCCAGCTTTTTTATTGACTTGAATTGATGAGTCTGAATTTATTTCACGACCCTGTCTTATGGTCCAGGAATCTGATTCTGCTCTATGACTGACTCTAGCAAATATCTACATACATGGGATATTACCTTTGGGACTTTGATATCTGAACAGTTATATGATATATTCATTTTTAAAACAAGTAAATGGGGGGAAAAAATATTTTATTTACAAAAAAAGCTTTCATTTTTTATAATTCCTTCATGTGCTAAATATCCTTTAATGCATGCAAGGCTAGCGATGTCTCATTACAAAGAAATCCTCACATGACAAACAAATAAATAAACAAAACCTATGCAAGTCAAAGTAATTGCATTTTGAAACTAAAGATGGAGATTTTTTTAATCTACAAATCCAATTAGTTGAATACAGTAAAAATTCACAGTAACAAATATGAACTTTGCTGTTTAAGAAAATTACAACACAACAACTATTAGTAGCTAGTAGTTACTTAAATTGTTTCAAAAACACATAATCCTTAGCGAACCTTTCAGAATTATCTTGAATTCATTTTGCTGGCGAGTGAGGTCAGATTTAAGTTTTTCTAAATCTGGTCTCTCCTTGGATACAACAGCCCCCAACAGTTGGTCTTCTAGGCCATCTCTAGTGGAAGAGGATAAGAGCAGTTAACATGCATTGGGATTAGGCCTAAGGATGGCAAAGTACAGATTAATTTTATAAAGCTTGACCTTACTCACATACATATTTTTATTGGCATATATTTTTATGGCACCATTTCCTGCTAGTTATTCCCATGGTTTACAGCAAAACACAATTCTGATATATTTTTTTCTAGTTTGACATTAGTTTCAACATCAATTATTCTCTGGCTGTGACAGAATTATATTACCTCGTGACAGTGAAATTAATGAGTGTAGTTTGTGCCTGCATCTCTGGCTTATAGTGAGGATTAGCAAGTTTGGTCTGTAATATCAGACGGAAGTTTTTGTGGTAGTTTATCTCTTTGTCTCCAATCTGAAGATATTTAAAACAATAATTAATATTTGGCCTGTAATATCAGACGCAAGTTTTGTGGTAGTTCATCTCTTTGTGTCCAATCTGAAGATATTTAAAACAATATTAAATATTTGGTCTGTAATATCAGACGGAAGTTCTGTGGTAGTTCATCTCTTTGTCTCCAATCTGAAGATATTGTAAACAATAATTAATCAAGTAACATCCGAGATCCTGGCAAGCAAATATTACAGAAAATAATTGATGCCTTTTTCTAAACTGAAATAAGTCACTGCGTTTTTGTTAAATTTTAATGTTGTTTATATCTTGTGCTGTGTGCTATAATGTTACAGGGAATTAGTTTGTTAAGCCCATGGTTTCATAAAATTTTTTTTATTAAACTACATGTTTCAAACAAGTGATCATCTATAAACCTGTGTGATCATCTATAAACCTCTGTGATCATTTATAAATCTTTGTGATCATCTATAAATCTGTGTGATCATCTAGTAGTAACAATATGAAGATGAAAATGACAATAATTACTAAACTTGATGTGGAAAAGATACCAAGGGTCTACAACTAAAATATTTAATTAAAACTACATGCAGTGTCCACTAGTTTCTTTTGCATAATATATCCTAATACAGGAATAATTGTGAAATATTAATTTTTCTAAAAAATAAAAAACTGTAACATTGAACATTTAAATTGTGCTAGATTTAAAAAATTGTAATTTCAAATTAGAATTCATCTATTTATTTGTATGCATATAATGTGCAAGTTAAAACTTGGAATACAGAATGAGTAATTCATACAAAAGCTATGGTAAAAATGTCAGTTTAAGTTGAGGATTACTGATTGAAGTCTTTTCTAATGTTATACTGTTTGATACCGCCAAGTCAATTCACTTTTTTCACTGTTGACATGTCACTTGACTTGTGAACAAATGATTACCTTGATGGCTCGACCTTTCTTTATTGTGTTACGCCCCAGCAGGTGGTCCAACACGGCATCAACAGATTCACCAATGTTCTCCATTAGCAGAACTTCACCGGTCTCAACAGCTTTCTCTATGGCATCCAGGTACCCATGAGATCCAAGTTTAACAATCTAAAAACAAAAATTGGCACAAGAGAATTAGAATTGTGTTATATGCAAAATAAGAAATGACGTGCAGATATTTCTGTTTATTATTGGAATCAAATAATGACACCAAACCTTTGATATAATAAATTTATGGGTGTTTATTAAATCTACATACATTTATTTTGATGTTAACAAAACATGATGTTAAACGATTCAGTTTTTATAAATGTGAACAAAAAAAGATTATAGAAAATGCAGAGGTGAAGGAAGTTTAAGTTTGACTGTAAATAGTTTACAAAGAGTACCTACCTTTAGTCTATTTCCATATCTTGTTTTGATCCACTTGTAGCCTTGGAGCTGAGGGTCAATCATGAGGGGCCAGCGTTCACAGTTGGTGAGGATGGTTGCATTTTCTATGGACATTCTGTCACTTGGTAGACCTTCATTGCTCCAACAAGCAATCTGTTTCAGCAAAAAGCTTACAGTAAATGTTTATTTTTCTACATAATGTGTCAAAGATAATTCTAAGTATCTAAAATTTTCTCTTAAACAAAATGCTAAATGTGCAAGACACCAGAATAGGAAAATTTGTTAGGACTTCATGTGAGGATATAATGACATTTTTTTTTTTTTTTCAAGAATTTTCTATTCAGTTTATGAATTGGAACAATTGGTATGAAAGCCGATACACATTTTGGTCCTTTGAAGCCCTGTTTAAAGCACCTTTGTAATGGGTTTGATTTTAAGAAAACTAATTATTACCTTACCTGAGCACTGTCTACTAACATGACAAGAGGGTCAAGGTTCTCTGTAACTGCGATAGGATGCTTCAGCTTTTTCAGAAAAGCTAGCCATTTATTGTCCAGCAGATCCACACGATACACCTGAAAAATTGTTTCCATAAATTTCTATTTTCTTTGGGAGTGATACATTAAGGATTTCTGAAGTGCAATTTAATATATCAAAAGTAAATATCCTTTTAAAATATTTATGTTTAAAGCGACATGAACAAGTTGTTCCAGCAATTTTTTTTCTTTCAACTATCTTAAAATGTTTTCTTTCATTGGCTTCCTAGCAACTAGGAGCTAGAATGATTATTACATTGATCGTGGGCTCTCAAAATATAGAAGAAGAACTAACTTTGGTAAATGATCCCACATATGAAACATAAGCTGTGATAAGGAGGACATCTCCAGGGAGGGTTTTTTCATTCTCATGAAAATTCATAATGGCTTGGGCCCAGCGAACATTTTCTGAGGCCAGACCACCGACCAGCCTGTTGGCCAGCTCAATGACGGCAGCTGTGGCATCAGCCTCCTCCTGGCACTTCTGTTTGGTGCTCACTGCCTTGTTGAGCTCTGCCTGACATTCATTCAGCGTGGCCTCCAGTGCTGACACTTTGGCTGTTAACAAATACCATCATAAAATTGTATACAGTGGGTCATTAGCAGACAAATATATATTTATCATTAAATGACACACTATGTAAGTTCATCATCTCAGTCCAGCAGGAATTTTGGCTATTGTAAATGTATACTTATACATTAACTTAAAAACGGCACAATACTCTGTTTCATTTTTAAAAAAACTATGTTAGCAGGGTAAGAAAAATTCTATTTCAATACGACAGATAATGGCTACAAATGAAAATTTTCCTAGCACAAACAGAATAAAGAAAAGAAAAATAATGATACAACTACACTTAGTGAAATAACAACACATGAACATACCACTAATTTAACTGCACCAAGTAAAGAGGTGTAAATCAGGGGAGCAAGAATTAGTTAATTTAAGGTGCAAGTTTTAGAGTGCACTCTACATTACCTTATAATACATTATATTACATTAAGTTTCATTTATTATAATACATTTCAATCTGATCATTGCTTTGTTTGTCTCTCACCTTTAATGGCCCCAAGTTTAGTCTGCGCTGCATTTAAGTCTTCATTGGCTTTTTTCAAAGCAAGCCTTTTGGGCTCCACTTCACAGAAGACCTCGTAATATTTCATGATGTTGACCACCCATGAACACAAACCTAGAGGGAAACGTTCACAAATCTTATTACTGTGTTTTGTAAATCATCATTTCTCAAATGGTCATTTGAATATTTTCAAGGCAGCAACTATGATATAGGTTCAAAGAAAAGCATGAATACTGGTAGTTATTAATAATCCTGACAATTTTATTTTTGTCAACAGGTAATTAATAAATCAATGATATCCTAACATTATTGATGGTCGTTGTTTTTTTATTACTAACATTAACCCTACATTAATGATTCAAATCAAAATTGATCTTAATTTTAACAAAACAAATAGTTTTGCTGTAATTAGGATTATTACAAAGTGAATTAGTTGAATCCTTGACTAACACAAAAACAACATACGCAGCATAAAACATTTTTGTTATCATATTTGTTCTGAGACCATACATGGAGACTTAGTGTTTTCAAAGCTAACAGCTGTAAATGTACTGGTAAACTTCAATAATTTTACCTGCAGCTGCACTGGACTTTGCCTTGATAAACTCAGGGTCGAACTCGGGGTCATTCAGATATGGCTTGACAGCCACTTGGCAGCTAAGTGGTATATTGTCTTTGTCATAGTACATCAGAGCATCAAGGAACGCATCAACCTAGATGACCCAAGTTGTTCATCAGTGCTTATTTTCATTGAGTGGGTACGTAACTTCTGCCTTTTTTTTGTTAATTATTGATATTATTAATTAATAACTTCCTTCAGGCCCCTCACCCACTTCTGTTTTTGGCTAAGAACACGAGGATAAAAAGCCTTGTATTTTACAAAGTAATAAAAATATGTTTGGCTTTATTCCTTTGTGTCATTGAAAGGTAACACTTGTAACACTTAATAGCTGAATTAATTTAATATATTTACTGCTGTTGAATTGGCATGTTTTTAAAAATAAAATTTTATACTGTTTGATGCGTTACATCAAGGGAAGCTAACTCAGCTGAATTATTTCTTAATTGAAATTATTTATTTAAGTGCTTTAAGTAATCCAAATGTAATAACTGAATGATGATAGTGAAACCCAGTGCATTCATACGTCTACTGTAGTTGTTTTCTAATGTTTCACTCAAGATGGTCAAACTATTTAAAAACCATTGAAATCTCTCTCTACCTTGGACATTATTGTGGCCTTGGCAGCTTTCCAAGATCTGTCCTTTGGCACATTTCCTCCAGGTGCCAGTAGCACCATCACTGCAGCAATCACATTGGTCACAGCAGCCGGTGGTGACCCAAAGGACTTCAACTCTGTCAAATTGTTCTAGGGAATCAGCACAAAGATAAATGGTTGTTAATGACCCTACTTTTGATAAAATACAAAATGTAACAGAAATACATTTTCATTAGCCTGGACATTTTTAAAACAATAAATCAGTAGGTATTGAACCTATTTTTCAATGCACAAAGCATTGATAATCTATCCATGTTATGGGCTTTTTTTAAACTACAAGCATTTTTTTTTACTTGGGAACTGCAACTTGTTTGTTGACATCATTTAACATCTGCAATCAATATCTTGGCTTATTATATTATTTTGTTAAACATTAACTCTTTATATCTTTGCCTTCAGAAATCAACTTGTTTATAAGGTCAAATTTAAGACAGAATTTTGACATACAATTTAAGAACAATTTCAACATTTAAACATGGACTAATATCAAGGGGGTTAAAAACATTCAATTACCTTATGAATAAAGGTGATTTACTAGGCTTGCTAAATATATATGTTCACCTTATTCAGAGTATTCAAAGCCTCTTTGGCTGCCAAGAGAGCAGGCTCAGCTTTGGCCAAATCTCTGGAGCAGTCTGAGGCTTTTTGCTCGACCTCCTGTGTGATGATGGACACTTTCTCTTCCTCCACATCAGCTATAGCTTTCTCTGACATGACTTTCTCTGTCTCAGCACTCACTACTGTGATCAGATCATTGGCCTCAGCATTTTTAGCTGCGAGTTCTACTTCTTGGGAAGCCAGTTTGGATTTCAAGTCATCAACCTTTGTAAAAAGTGCAAGTTAGATCTATGTCCATATCATCTTAGTCAATATGTAGTTTAAAAGTTTGATTCCTTAAACATGAAAATAGCAATAATTATATTGCTTCATTACACCTTACTTTTAGTACATCACGTATTCCAAATGTGTACAATTGTAATATAGGACTAACTTAAGTTGTAAGCTTTACTCAAAGCACAAACAAAAATTGTCCTCACTTTTTTTTCTCTCTATTTTGAGGGCCCCGATCAATGTATTGATCATTCTGGGCTCCTGTTTTGAATTTAGAGTTTGCCTTCTCTTAGATGAGTTGCTATCCAAGGCTAATGAGTCCCATCCACCCAGAGTGCTTGAGACGTTGGCTTTGGGACTCCAGACCACAAGCTGTTATTTGGGTTGAGTCAGTTTAGACCGCTCGGCCACCCAACCACCACGTTAGCCAAGTGGTCAGTTACAAGTAAATGAGACAAAAATGTAAAAAGATATAAATTTATTCTTACTTGTGTAGCTGTGCTGCGTAGTTTCTCGAGTCCATTCTCCAATCTGATAATGCTTGCTTGCAGCTCATCATTTTTCATGGTCAGTAAGTTTTGATACAACACAATTTGTTCCAGGAAAGATTTAGGGGTTGTGTAATTAAAGCGGCGTTCATTTTTCAAGTATAAGGCACTGGCTTCATTGACAGATTTGTGGACATAGGCCATGAAATGTGCAACTGATGTACGCATATTGCTCTGAAAATAAGATATAACACCTAAGTGTATGTTCATTTTTTTGTTTAACTTATGAATTACATAAACTATGATTAAGTTTAAAGAATATAGTGTTGTTTTTTAAAAAAACACTTCATTTTATGACAATATTCTTCCATGTTTCAAATAATTTTTCTTCCAAAACGTTATAACATGTGTGCAGTTTTTTTACATTTTCCTTTTAGTTGTATTTAAAGCAACTTCATAAAAGAAACAATAACATAATTTTTTACATATATTATAGAAATCACAAACATATCTAGCTGATATAGAAATCATGAACATATCTAGCCAATATAGAAATTATGAACATATCTAGATAATATAGAAATAACGAACATATCTAGATAATATAGAAATCATGAACTTATCTAGATAACATAGAAATCATGAACTTATCTAGATAATACAGAAATCACAATCTCGCTAATATAGAAATCCCGAACATATCTAGATAATATAGAAATCATGAACTTATCTCGATAATATAAAAACCATGAACATATCCAGCCAGATATTATAGAAATCACGAACATATCTAGATAAATATAGATATTTTTTAAAAATAAAATAGATTTGAATTACCATGTTCTAATTCAAAAATTAATTTTAAGTAATTTAACTGTGTTCAAAACTAAACCTAACTAAACTGTAGGAAGCTGGAACAAAACATCGAATGGGATTAAATGGACAAAACTTGATGCATGCAAGTTACACAAGTTACACTGATTAGTTTACATAATACTCACATCTATAAGCTCACAGTCGCTAAGGAACCTGAGACTCACAGATATCAATGCCTCTTCTGGCCATTCATGGAACCAGTCAATACTGGTACAGTTTGTCACAGCAGGGAATTTTCTACTGCGCACACGCAGAGTGTTCCCTACTGGAGAAAAGCACAGCACCACCTTTGTGGAGACGGGAACATTTTCAGGGGGAGACAAAAATGTTTTTAAAACCTCATTAAAATTTTAAACTTTTATGAGTAAACTTTTATGAAACCAAATGAATTAAAAAGTTAAAATATCAATTTGTGTCAATCTGTTCAATACTTTCATTCAAAGGTGACAGCATAACAGTAAACCATTGTGGCGATGGGATGGCTTTTAATTTCTTGAAAAGAGACCAATACAAAATTAAATATTGTTCCGTTTGATAGCTTACCTTCAGATTTTTCCTCACTTTGTCAATGAACAAGTACCAGGCATTTTCTCTAGTGTCTGGTATGCCTACTGACTTGCACTCGCTGAGCATGATGCCCAGTATTTCTTCCATTTCATCATCACTGAACAGATCTGAAATCTCTCCTGATGCCAACAAGTCATTGATGAGGACCAGGAACATCTCGTTGGCCACCTGAGCATCAGACATGATAAACACCACACCAAGACCTAAAGGTGGAATTTAAAAAACTATGCAGGCACCCACACTGTCGTGGAATTTGAACTTGGGGTTAGGTTATTACAACATGGCATGAGCGGCTTCTGCCCCACCGCTTAAAAAACTTAGAATATAGGAAACCCTATTCGTGTATTTGATATAAGTTTAATAGTTTATTTCTCAGGAACTATAGGTTATTATGCTATAAATATCTTGCTGAAAGGGGAATTTTTATTCTCTTTACCTTAATATATTTGCAAGTCTACATCTTTAGAGGATATTGTAATATTAAGTAATTAAGGGAGTTTTCAAATTCATCCATGGGAGGGTCCCAACCCATTTTATTTAAAATATGTCAAAGACCATTTTAATTTTATAAATGTAAGTGTATCTTAGATAGCCGAGACAAAACGTGAACAAACACATATAAGACTTCAGGGTTATGGTCAGGGATTTAGAATTTTATTCACCTTGGAGTCTCTAGGGATTGTCAAATTACCTCAGGAAATCTGCCTGAAGTCAAGCAATAGACTGTCTTGTTAATGTGTTACGTAGATTCTCCCTGGGATGTTTGAGGGACCCTATTTATAGTACACATGAGAGTGGGCTTTTGGTATTTAAAGTGTTAATCGTGTCCCTAAAATGCCCCGTTGTTCACCGGCATATTTGGTTCTTTTGTAATTATAAGCAAATACGCCCTTTATATTATTGTGTTTGTAGAATGCAATTGTTAGGTGTTAGATTTCTGTTCTTACTTATATTTGGCAGTGTTTTAATCTAATTTGACTTGTAACCTTGATATTACGATGGTTAAACATACAGCCGTCCACTGAATTCTTACATGGAATTAGATACCAGTGTGTACATGAGCATAACACGCAACCGTAATCTCATTCTGGATACACATACTGCAATGTGCTTATAAGCTATTGATAAAACAGTATCCAATATATGTAAAACATTTGTAGGAGGCTTACTACCCTGCCATGTGCTAAATTTAGGATAATATTAACCAGCTGTATTAAATAATTAGACATTCTGCAATACGCTTTTGTCCTAAAAAGACACATTGATTGATACAACTAGTATCCAACTAACAGCTGTTTTACTTCATACCATTGCAGTAATTGTCCAGGTATGGGTGCATCTTACATAGACAACATAGGTAAATGGACAACAGTACAATAATCATATCTAGACCTTTATGTAAGCCCCCACATCTCATACTGATTCTGAATGTAAGATGGTGTATGTGATACAAATTAAACACTGCCACATGATTTCTTTTACTTTTATAATTAAACATTATTACAATTATATATTTTTTATTGCCATTTGTACAACATATACCACTCTATTCTTAGTTAAGTATATTTTGTCACAACCTGTAATTACTGAGCTATTTAACATGTTTATTGTTACCAATGTAATTCAATTTAGTCAGGATATTATTAACCTGTACTATTTGTATCTTTTCAGATATTGTCCTTTCACTTACAATGGATCCCTTTTCTTTCGCTTTTTCTTAAGATACATTTTCTTTGAACTTTCACTTAGGATTTACTTCTACCCCTCTAAGAACCAAATAAGGCTATAGTCCTCAAGACCTGGATTTTATCGAGTTTATATAAACCCAAATCTATATATATTTAAAACTGTCAGCTTCACCACTCGGCTACATATAAATAAAGAATCCCACTTTGCAGAAATTCACTTAATCATAAAAAATCATCATTTAATAATGAAGTTTCAACCATTGCGGGGCCCTTGACTTGAAGTTTAATCTAGAGGGTGGAAAAGATAAATGCTTTTTAGGGCAACTCCTGCGTCCTGCACAAAGCTGTTTAATAAAGAAATCTAGTATGAGAAAATAAATAATGAGTTGCCATACCAAAATGATAACAGATAAAATAATGAATCTAAATCTTTGTTAAACTATTTCAAACCAACTTTCTGAGACATCAGCAGCTACCTTTTAATCCAGATTTCTTATATAGGCCATTGACATCATTTTTCAAGTCAATGGTTGAATACTGTTTGGTCAGTGTTATCTAAATATTTTGAAATAAAGTCAAAGGTCTTTTGCAACAAAATTTATACAAGAATTTAAAAAATGCAAAATTTGTGAAATCCAGGGTGGCAATGTAAAATTTTGTCATTGCTACAAACTACTATGAAAGAATATAACAGAAGAGATTACAAGATGGGGGTAGAGGAGGGAAAGGTTGGCTGGGGAAATGGTGGGGCCTGAATGAGGTTTTTCAAATGATGTTTCATATCTTCAAGTTAGTCTATCCATAATATATTCCACAGTTAAAAATAACTTCTGCAATGTGATGGAAATTGGTATGCAGAGCTTAGAGTAACAGTAGATGTTTTAAAATTTGTTTCAAAATCCATATCTCTTTAAAAATGATTTTGGCTTTATTGTAAATTTTAGAAGGGGTAATGCATATTACTTAGTCATCTTATTGATTGTGTTCAGAGCAGACCTTTCAATCTAATAAAAATATACAGAATGCTTATCTGGCATTACACCTGAAAATTTAGACTCAAGTAATATGTAAATTAATTTCTATTAGATATACAAATATGTGGGTATTTACTATTTAACTGTAGCAAGCTTTCTAAGTAATGAAAATTGTCTTATTTAATATCTGTACTTGATCTAGTTAGTTAAGAAAAACAATTATTGTACACTTAGTTATAGGAATATAGACACTAGTTAAGAAACACCAACACATGCTTAAAGTGCCCCATTGACCATGACAAAGAAATATCATTTACCTGGAATACATCCAAACCACTAATAAAGGCTGCCAGGCGAGACAGCGACTGCTTACCACTGCCCCCAACACCTATAAGGAGAGCATTTCCACGAGGGGATTCAAGGATGCGGTTAATTCGACAGATATGGGACATGGCATCTTCAAAGAGTACCAAGTTCATGGCGGCATTCAATTCATTGTAACTGTCAAGGACGTCTGAGAGAATTTTGTTGATTTGCGGCCAACCAGTAATAAACCCATACACGGCATCACCCACACCGTTGGCAAAATGGCAGCAGATCAGGGGCTTCTCATTCACTGCCTCTTCTTTTTGATCCTTTTAAAAGTTGGTGAAAGTAATTACTGGCGGTTTTTCATAATTATGGGCTTAAAATTTTACAAAGGAATTTTGCTAAAATTATCATTTCTTTAAAACTTTTTGTGAGCATTATAAAACTTTTTGTCTTCCCTTAAAAAAAACTTATTTTACTGTTTTAAACAGATTCTGTTTTCCCTACTTGACATATATTTTAAACTGTGTGATTACTTGACACATTACAGTCTCAATTAATTTTAGTTTAGTAACCAGCTTGTATTCCATTTTTCTTTTACTTGTATTAGAAACAGTGCAATGAAATATAAATTCTGTCAACAGACCTCAAAGTTTTTTTTAATGATTTCAGTATGAAACTTCTCATACAGCTCAATGTCATTGTCATCCACAAGTTTGTCCTTGTAAACCCTCTCAGCTTCATGAAAGTATAACCTGACCAGATGTGTTGGAGTCCTACATGTCTCTGCAGCAGCAAACAACATGCCCTGAAAATGTCATAGATTGTTGAAATATTAAGTGGGATATGACAGTTATCTCAAGCCCTCTTTTTACCAAGGCATTTAGTTTTTTTTACAGTGTTTCTTTTGAGGATGTCTCCAGCATGCTGTGCAGATTAATTTGTGCAAGAAAATTTATCAGGTATTTTTCTCAATAACTCAATTACTGAGCCAGGTTTTCGGGGGCTAACAGAAAATTTAAGTTCAAGTCTACAAATGAAAGATTGACAGTTTTACTTTAGTATGAAATTTGAATTTATTTTGCAAAGATATGATCTAACTTCAATCACATGAGTCAGTTACAACTGAAGCAGGACTTTGTGTAAAAAAAAACACAAAAACCAATACAAAAGATTTCAAATAAAAACTTAGGACCTGTGATTTGAATTTAATAACTTTAAAGAATGCTGGTGCTTATTCCACCAAACACCTTTCATTCTAGATTCTAGTGTAAATTACAACATATTTTTAAATACCTGGAAGATATTGGACATGTCTCTTAGGTTAAAGATGTAGTGAAATTTGATAGCAGTTGGCAAAAAACTGGATATCATTTTGTACTGTAGAGCGATGGCCCCCTGAACAATTTGAGCACAGTAACGCTGGACAACCGTGTTGAAATTATTGAGGGACATGTGCTGACTCAATATATTTGTGTATATAGCAGCCAGTGCATCTTTGGTGGGCAAACTCAAGGCAAACACACAGAAGTGGCGCTGTAACAGTGTGATAAAGTAGGTTTCAGGCCAGACAGAAATTGCATGTTGTTGCTTTAAGATTTAATTTAAATACTTGATCAAATGGTATGTTTTCTTACACACTGAAATAAAATTAATTTACAGCCAACTTAATAGAGGTAGTGGCTCAGTTAAGAATACATCTATGTCAAATAGTCTGGCCCATGTCAAAATATTCTTGTTGTCTAAGGTCTTAAGCTGATGGCGACTATTTGGTGTCTCAAATTCTCATGTCACAGATTCCACCTGGTCTATCTTCATTGGTCATACAACGGACTAGTTCAATGAAAAACAACGCTAAAAGGTTTAATGTATATTACTGGTTTTATTTCACAAAACTCGAACACATTCACTTGGTAAGCTACACAAGGAAATCCATTCATAAATACATCTGTAGATTATTATTTCATTCAGGCAAACATCTCCCAGTGAATCTGTATATAAAAAGACCCGTCTCTCTTCCGTCCGTGAACATAATATAACCCCGCTCAAAAAGTTGTCTCCCTTTTATAACCCCAAAATCCCATAATGAAAATCGTTCACACTCGCTCACAAGCCCCATTTGTCACCAAAATCAAAACACGCACATTCTCTTTGATTTCATGACCTTGACAATCTAGACATATCAACTGCACCACAAACATAAGAACTAAATGTGGACATATCTTTTAATCACATCATTTTTTAGAGTTGGCTCATGTTAAAATATACAATTCTTATTAGTTATGTGAGCTACATAGGACTATTGGGACTATGCTATAATAGGGGGCAGGGGAGTGTTGTTTTTGGCCTTATATACACCAACTAGGTGCAATCTATTCTGTATTGAATTATGATCATCCCATTCAGAGATAGGTAAAAATAAAAACTTACCTGCAGCCTGGCGTCAATGGTGAATGAGCCAGCCGTTGGGTTCATGCAGGACACAAACTGAGTGTTGTGGATTTCTTTCAAGGAGAGTTTCTGTCTGTCGTACCAGTGTGCATGGTCTATACAAGCCCTGACCAGGGTGTGTGGTTGCACGGTAAAATATTTATCCACCTTAAGTATAAAAAAAAGCGAATACCAAATCTGACCACCAAAATAAAATGGAGACTGATGTTGAATGGTTATGTTGTTTATGTTCCCACACCAGTGTGATATAAAATGGAGACTGATGTTCAATGGTTATGTTGTTTATGTTCCCACACCAGTGTGATATAAAATGGAGACTGATGTTGAATGGTTATGCTGTTTATGTTCCCACACCAGTGTGATATAAAATGGAGACTGATGTTCAATGGTTATGCTGTTTATGTTCCCACACCAGTGTGATATAAAATGGAGACTGATGTTGAATGGTTATGCTGTTTATGTTCCCACACCAGTGTGATATAAAATGGAGACTGATGTTGAATGGTTATGCTGTTTATGTTCCCACACCAGTGTGATATAAAATGGAGACTGATGTTCAATGGTTATGCTGTTTATGTTCCCACACCAGTGTGATATAAAATGGAGACTGATGTTCAATGGTTATGCTGTTTATGTTCCCACACCAGTGTGATATAAAATGGAGACTGATGTTCAATGGTTATGCTGTTTATGTTCCCACACCAGTGTGATATAAAATGGAGACTGATGTTGAATGGTTATGCTGTTTATGTTCCCACACCAGTGTGATATAAAATGGAGACTGATGTTGAATGGTTATGCTGTTTATGTTCCCACACCAGTGTGATATAAAATGGAGACTGATGTTCAATGGTTATGCTGTTTATGTTCCCACACCAGTGTGATATAAAATGGAGACTGATGTTCAATGGTTATGCTGTTTATGTTCCCACACCAGTGTGATATAAAATGGAGACTGATGTTCAATGGTTATGCTGTTTATGTTCCCACACCAGTGTGATATAAAATGGAGACTGATGTTCAATGGTTATGCTGTTTATGTTCCCACACCAGTGTGATATAAAATGGAGACTGATGTTGAATGGTTATGCTGTTTATGTTCCCACACCAGTGTGATGCTGGTAAACCTTAATTTGAAAGTGAAACAATGCCAGTTATCAGGTGTTTTTCATCAGCTCCATATGTATGGTGTACGATGTCTCTTTGATGATATGGGGACAGGAAAATAGTGGGCATGTATTTTGGGTAGATATTTATTTTGTGTTGTCTCCTTTTTCTTTGTTAGATCTCTCATTAAATACCCCGAACGAAAAGACTGAACACTTCCTTACCAACTAGTTCCTGTTGATCCTTTGTAAGCAAAGACTATCAATGCAACATTTGATTGATTTGATAAACGCTTTATTTAGTTCAGATTTAGTCTAGATGACTGGAAAATGGGCCAGGGTGCAGTGGATGACCATCAGTGTTTCTAGTGTCTAACTGTGCCTTTTACAAGTTCCACATTATGTATGCTGCCCCATTTCCACCCACTGGATCATTTAAGGATCTCTTCTGCGAAGTTCACCAGGTCCAGTGTTCACATGTGAGATAGGCACACATCCTTCTACACTGTATTGTGTAATACTCATAACAAAGTGAGTAACGACAATACTTAAGACAGGTTTATAAGTAGGCTGTAGCCCCAATTTTTAAAAAAAAGGTGTAAATTGAAGAGAATATGAACACCACCCACCCACCCCCCCCCCACCCCCACAAACCATTGAAAGATAAATCACAATAAAGTCACTAAAACAGTTAAGTACCTCAGGCATGTTCATGTCATCAACAAAATAAATAAGTTTTCTTGTGCCTGGTGGGCCATAGTTGCGCCCCGCTTTTTTCTCCAGTGGTTTCTCCAGGATGTTTTGCAGCATTTCACTGGTGGTGTAGAAGTTGAATGGCACGTTGGCTATCATGTATTCCTCTGGTAAGGACTTGAGCTTGTTGTTCATCAAGACCGTTTTCCCAGTCCCGGCAGCTCCAACCAACATGACCGGCCTACGAGTGGCAACCAACATGTCCAGGAAAAATCTGAGTCTATGAGTTTCTGCTGTGTGAACAATGGTTGCCTGTGGGTGGAGTATTGTGAGGAATTTTACTAAGAGAATAGACTAATACAATCTACAATACATGAACAATATAACTACACATTAACTACAAAATTCTGTCCCTGGCGTACAGCTGTATAGAAGGCTCTGCACCGGAATATCTTAAAGAACTGATTTATAAACATGTATCTTTAAAGACCCTGCGGTCTTCAACACAGTCCTTACTGAAAATTCCCAGTGTGGATGAACACAGAGAAATGTCTGAAGGAGTGCGCTCTATTGAAGCGATAGTGCCAAAATTATGGAACAGTTGGCCTCAATTTTGAGGGGAATTGAAAATGATAAATAATCATTTAAGAAACATTTTAAAACTTTTTTGTTTAAATAGATTTAAGAAAACCAGAGCGCAGTGAGCATGCTTAAGTAGCATAGATACCAGCGCGATATAAATATCCAATTAATCAATCAAACCTAAGCTATTAATAATTATGTAAGCTGGGGGAATTATTGTGGGCATAATAAGTTTCATTTTTTTAAATTGTTGTTTCTGAATAGCAACAGAAGGATCATTGTCTCATTCCACTACATGTCACTACTTTCATAGACTAAATGATCATTGCCTCATTCCACTACATGTCCCTACTTTCATAGACTAAATGACCATTGTCTCATTCCACTACATGTCACTACTTTCATAGACTAAATGACCATTGCCTCATTCCACTACATGTCCCTACTTTCATAGACTAAATGACCATTGTCTCATTCCACTACATGTCACTACTTTCATAGACTAAATGACCATTGCCTCATTCCCCTACATGTCACTACTTTCATAGACTAAATGACCATTGTCTCATTCCACTACATGTCACTACTTTCATAGACTAAATGACCATTGTCTCATTCCACTACATGTCACTACTTTCATAGACTAAATGACCATTGCCTCATTCCACTACATGTTGCTTCTTTCATAGACGAAATGACCATTGTCTCATTCCACTACATGGCACTACTTTCATAGACTAAATTCTTAAAGAGACCTTAATTGTCGCCATTGCTCCCAAGGAAACGGTGTATCCTTAATTCCCAATGGGTATTACTTTATGGCAAGGCCCAGAAGATGAGGCTCGCCCATGATGTCTTGACCGGGGCAATAAGGTTCGACCAGCTCACCCCAAATCAGACAATGAATTAGTATTATGGCTCTCTTGCTAAAAGTTTATATAATAATAATAATCTGTGTTCAACATTACCTGAAGTGGAACATCTGGATCAAATTCAAACACAGGCACCAAATTAATCCATGGTTTAAAAGTGTGGGTCTGAGGGCAGATGTAGTAATCGAAAACAGTTCCTGAAGAGGGAAACTTGACTGTTTTATATTCCAGCACAAACCATTTCGTGAAGTCAACTCGATGGTCACACAGCTGTGGACAGCAGAGGCAGAGATGATATTATACAAATGGACTTAGATTAATAAGTAGAATCAATTATAACAAAGGTTAAATTTAACACTTTTCTCTTTCTTACAAAGCAGAAATGAGTTAGTTTACCATAAACTAAGATCTTTCTGTAAACATAACTAATTTTTAACATGTTTAGAATATGTCATGTTAAAATAATGTGTGAACGATTCATTTAAAAAAATGTATTATATGAAGGACTCTACACCCAATATGCACTCCTTCAGCTATCACCACATATGAAAGTACTCTACACCCATTATGCTCTACTCCAGCTATCACCAAACATGAAAGTACTCTACACCCATTATGCTCTACTCCAGCTATCACCACATATGAAAGTACTCTACACCCGTTATGCTCTACTCCAGCTATCACCACATATGAAAGTACTCTACACCCATTATGCTCTACTCCAGCTATCACCAAACATGAAAGTACTCTACACCCGTTATGCTCTACTCCAGCTATCACCACATATGAAAGTACTCTACACCCATTATGCTCTACTCCAGCTATCACCAAACATGAAAGTACTCTACACCCATTATGCTCTACTCCAGCTATCACCACATATGAAAGTACTCTACACCCATTATGCTCTACTCCAGCTATCACCACATATGAAAGTACTCTACACCCGTTATGCTCTACTCCAGCTATCACCACATATGAAAGTACTCTACACCCATTATGCTCTACTCCAGCTATCACCATATATGAAAGTACTCTACACCCATTATGCTCTACTCCAGCTATCACGACGTATGAAAGTACTCTACACCCATTAGGCTGTTCTCCAGCTATTACCACATATGAAAGTACTCTACATCCTTTATGCTCTACTTCAGCTCTCTACTTACCTGATCTTGAAACATTGAACCCCCAAATGCCCAGATGCAGCAGAACACAAAATACAACTCGTACAAGTCCTTAGGTGATTCAGGGGGGCAGTTCTCCTCTGTAAGTAGACTCTCCAATAAGTAGGTCAGCATCTGAAAGAAAACAAGGGATTATTCCTATGTATGTCTAACAGTTTAGTTGAAATACAATTAAGATTTATATTGCCTGTGATCTAAAACGAAGTAATTAAATTCAAAAGTACAATTTGCCGTTGTTGACACTGACAAGGGCAAATTTGTTCTATGTGAAGGAATCAAGTTTTCCATAAAGCTGATTTAAACTCAACTCCTTATAATTCAAATTTATTGATATGTAATTACAATCACTTATTTATATCCAAATTATTACTGTCAATAATACATTTTAAAATATTTTACCTTCCAGTAAGCTACTGCCTTGTGTTACATTAAGGGATTTACCGATAGCTGCAGTGTCTAACATTTTAATAAATTTACCTGCACATGTGCTATTTCTTGTATTGGTGTTATTTTCTTAAATCGAATTCTCAGACAGTCCAGTATGGACCCCACATATTTATCAAACAATATTGTCAGGTTGGCTTTCTCTTGCTGAACCTCTCTCTTGTCAATCCAACTCTGTGCATATCTGAAAAGGCAAATAACTGGAATAAATACAATTAAAAGAGCCTTTTTTTAAATACCCTTTCAGGCTATTTCGTTCATTATGGATTTGTATGTATATTGATACAACAAGTAAGAAATGTAAAGGACCCCCCCCCCCAACCCCATTCCCAACCCAGGCAATAGAGATACCGCGTGGCCTCAAATATTCACTGTACAGTCTTGCAGTTAAATTATATTTTGCAAAATTGTAAACCCCACTTCCTCATTTCAAAGTGTACGAGTATGTTATAGTTTTTTAAAATTAAAATAACTCCATGAATTGTTCAGGAAATACTAATGAGAAATGAGCTCACGGATTCCAACCAATGTCATTTTGGTTGATGAAGAGGATCCCAGCACGGGACACTGTGGCAGGGGTGGCTGTTTTCAGATTGCTAATCTCAAACAAGAGTCGCATTGACCTGGTCATTGTAATACGTTCATTGCTGGCCAAAGTGAGCACCTAAAATACAAGACTTGTTAAATGTCCAGGTCAGTTTAACAAATAGCATTTTCTCTATGTATAGCATGTGAAATTTAATTACCGTAAGCTTACTTCAGAGTAAATAGCATCATTCTAAATTGTTTGACAACAATGTAGCTGTATTTGTTTGCAAGGCCTTCACAAGCCAGTGAAGCACCTGTGCAGTCTTAAGACATTAAATGCTAAGCATGAGTTCAAATAAATGAAACAAAACACTAAAACTTTTACACTGGTGTTTCTACTGCAGCATCAAATTTTAACAGCAATATTTAAAGTTTATTTAAACACTGATATCATGTTAATCAGCCAACCATAGCCCAGGATAAAAATAATTATGAATGATTGTTTTTTTTTAAAAATCAATTTTTTAAAAAATTAAATATTTCTTTCCACCCCCTTCCTTTCAATTCTTCTGAACTTTGTGTCAGTGACTTATGACCACTCATATTCTTTTCTCTCGTTTTTTAACTTAGATACATATGTAGCTTTAATTTATCTTATGAATGCTTTTTTTTTTTTGCTTTTTTTTTGAAGTGATGAAGACATTTGCTGAAACGTTTACATTTGTATTCTGTGTGACCATTATTAAATCTCAACCTATATTGTGTTATTTACACAAATTGTTAGTCTCTTATTAATCTATGTGAAAGCTCAATCGCAGTCCAACACTTTTATGACTATTTACAACAGTTCTCTTAGATAACCTTGTTGTCATCCATGACAGTGTTGAGAGACTCAATCCACATTGGATCAATGTCTCCATCTAAGACAATCCACTTGGGGCCATCTCCTGACATGTTGGCCAGATCTCTCATTATTACAGAGAAAAGACCTGTTTCAAAAGAAGTTTTAATAAATAACATTAGGAAATTTACCCTGAATGCTTGTTGTTTCCTCGGATCAGTGATGTGTATTACCAAGACTAAGGATAGCATCAGTACAGCAGGTTTGTTGCTGACTTGAAAAGGCATTAGAATCTTTTTTTTTTAATCTCAGCAACAACAATACAGAAAAGTTAACATTTCTCCATGAAGGTTACATGCATGTTTTATTTAAGTTTCATTAGATGGCCATGCAATTAGTGTATCACAGATTTTGAATACTTTTGTCTAAACTTGGTTTAAGCTTGCAGGGAAAGCTATTACTGATTTTAGTGTTTTACATCCTTCGAAGGGTCAGTCAATTACATATATTTTAAACATAAATAATTTTTTTTTTAAAATTATGATTACATCTCTAAAAAACATTTATACAATAACAGTAACTTCAATTCATTGTCAAATGATGTATAACACTTCAAGTCTAGAATTTATATTAGGCTCAGGAAAATGAGAATATGATTTGATGTTATTTATTGAAAATTTACTCTGTGCACTTTTCAACCGCTATACGTTTTGTTAAAATGTGTAATGTAGTTTTTTATTGTTAAATAAAACTTGAAGAAAATTTGAAGATTTATTGTGTATTGATTAACTGTTTGTGCTGTTGCCAACAAAAATTAATTTAATAGTCCCAATATATATAAAATTCATTTTTATAGAAAAGCACATTCAATTTCCTTTCTTTAGATAGACACACTTTGGTCTAATCTCTTATATTAATCTTAGGATTCAAATTTAAGTTTAACCTTCGTCTAGATTTGGTTCTGTGTCTGAAAGTGTTTGATAAAACTCGGGAAAAACCTCGGAAGTCAATGAGTTAAATTAGAAATAGGTAATCAATGGACAGGAAATGAGAATTAGCATTGCAAAAGGTTTTTTTTGGAATAAATTTGATAGCTTATTGAAAATAATAAAACAAATGATAAATAAACTTGTTTATTTTAATTATTATTTTTTTAAAATAAGTACATGGGAAGAATGGAATAAATAATGCAGTTACCATCCTTCCATTCTCTGGTAGCTGGGCTGATGATTCCAAACAGTTCATCATTAGTTACAGATTTAGGGTCAAGGTCTATGGCAATGGGCTTTCTACCCAGGATTTTATTGGTTTGCTTCAAAGCATTCCATACACAGCTTTTGCCAGTGCCTGCATTGCCCAGTATAAACACAGAATGCCTCACATCAAATAGTTCTTGTAACTGTACCACCTGAAACAATTGTTATGTAGTATAGACCAATGCTTCCCAAACTTTAAGACCACCAGGGATAGGTGGCAGATTAAAATATTCTCTTTTTATTTGACCATAAGTATCAATGTTGTGTTGATCGGCAATGAAAGACTCATGGACTAGTCCTAGTCTGTGGACAACCATTTATGGAATGCTGGTAAAGAGGATGCTCCCATAGCATGCAGTGATAAAACTGATCTGACAATACAAGTGAGGTTGCCTTTTTTTTTAAATTCAACACTGAATGCAGCATATGACATCATATTTCTAGATTTATAAAATAAAATCAGTCATTTGTATTTATCAAAAGGTACTCACCTTTAGGATAAAGTTTTCTTCAGCTTGCAGTTTAAGCTGTAGCGTTGCTGCCCTTATGTTCTTTTCAAATTCAACGTCTCTTTTTCTGGGTACATCTAATGCTGGGAATAGGTCACCAATAAGTCCCATAAAAACAGGCATGTCGTCAACCACTATTTTAGGGATGTTGAAATCTCGTAATGCCCTCATCAGTACCTGTTAATATATGACAGAGCAAACTTAAGGTAAAATGGAGTTTCATTATTGCATTATTCAGGATTGAAATTAAAAACTTTCAATGCTTTGTTTCCCCACTTTTCTATGCAAATGAAAATTTTGATAAAACAAATTTTTTTAATACAGGGGTTAGTAAACTTTTTTTTTTTTAATTTTTTTTTAGTCAATTTTTTAAATTAAATCTGCTGAAAAAGATATTTAGAAATCATGAGGTGGATTGTTTAAATGGCATTAGATTTAAAAAAAAAAAATGAAAATGCCTAACGATAAAAAGACCAGAATTTATACATTCAAAGAGCTGAAATTTTTTTAATACAGTGGTTAGTAAACTTTTTTTTTTTTAATTTTTTTTTAGTCAATTTTTTAAATTAAATCTGCTGAAAAAGATATTTAGAAATCATGAGGTGGATTGTTTAAATGGCATTAGATTTAAAAAAAAAAAAAATGAAAATGCCTAACGATAAAAAGACCAGAATTTATACATTCAAAGAGCTGAGTGCCGCTCCAGATCCAAGGTTGCCAACTGGTGATTTAACACATGGGAAATAATAATTGTCAAATAGGAAAAGAAGTGAAATATGGCATACATACAGACAAAAGAAAACAGTGAAAATTTTGGCTGAAAACCTGCGACAACAAAAAAAGGAGGAACAGAGAACAATGAACAAGAGAGAATAAAAAAATTACTTATTTAGATTATAAAGACGAGCAGTTCATTTTTTCAGATCTGTATAATATCTGTCACTTCACACTAGCAATAGCCTATTTAATTTTCTTAATAAATGCAATTGTTTATTTTGTATTTTATGGTTCACTCTTTACTTTAATCTTTAATATAATAGGGAAGTCTTAAAAATGGATAAAACAGTGTTTGTCCATCTGTGACCAAAGGAGTAATAAGGGGAGAGACTGCAATCAGGTTAGTACAAAATAAAATGAGTAAAACAGAGTATGGTTAAACCTGAAAAATTAAACGCAACAAAACAGCGAACGTGTCGGCAGAAAGCCTTCGTCAGCGAACAAAACAACAGAAAAAACGTTAAGAAATAGCACTTAGCTGGTAAGTAGTATCTGTGGGCAGCAATAGAAGTGTGGCAGAAGGAAACTGAGTGAGAGTTTAAATAAGCAGCGGCGAAAAAAGGGGGGAGAAAAAAGTTCACTGTGATAGGTCAGAACGTGGAGGGGCGGAGCTAGGGTCAAGCTGTGAACAGAGACATAACATTAATCCCATCTGGCGTCAAGGTGCCGTAACGGCAGATGGGATTAATGTTATGTCTCTGTTCACAGCTTGACCCTAGCTCCGCCCCTCCACGTTCTGACCTATCACAGTGAACTTTTTTCTCCCCCCTTTTTTCGCCGCTGCTTATTTAAACTCTCACTCAGTTTCCTTCTGCCACACTTCTATTGCTGCCCACAGATACTACTTACCAGCTAAGTGCTATTTCTTAACGTTTTTTCTGTTGTTTTGTTCGCTGACGAAGGCTTTCTGCCGACACGTTCGCTGTTTTGTTGCGTTTAATTTTTCAGGTTTAACCATACTCTGTTTTACTCATTTTATTTTGTGACCAAAGGAATAAGAATCCACAGTGTATGTAAAAAAAAAAAAAAGTTATTTACCTGATCTTCTGGTCTTTCCCTGTCTCCTCTTTTTAAAGAACCAGCCACCACAAGCACAGATTTTATTGCTCGCAGACCCCAGTCATAATGATCCTTTCATATCAGGAAGATGAAAAAATTTTTTACAAAGAAATCTCTACAGTGAACATTTATTTTACCGGTACATTGAAATATTAATTTAAAATTTATATATATACGTTATTAATAAATAACAATGAACTTAACATTTAAAATGAACATGCGATGAAACAATAAAAAAATAAGAACAGCTGTCAGAAGCAAGATTTTTTGATTACCTTATGGGAGGAGTAGTTAATCACCATCTTTGTTATTAATTACTTCCTTTTTTTTTTTTTTTTAAAGTTTTGCTCTGAGAAAATGTTTGTTGATTCTAGCCAGCATACAACAATGCAAAATTTAATTTAATTTAAATAACATTAATATTAAAAACCTGAAATAACCCATAGAAAAAACAAAACCACAGAGGGCTGCCCCGCTGCCCAGACTACTCTCATACTTTTGTTCAGGTGTCTTCAGCGCCCTCACTTTCTGCTCCCCCCACCCCCATCCATCCCCTGTCCCCAATAATGGCATAGATCCAAATCAGTTTTGAAATGTTTGCAACGTTCTGTAAATAAAACTTTGAGTTAACATGCAATAATCAACACAGCCACAAAAGTACCAAAATTTTTGTGATTTTTTTCCTTTACTGGATCTTTGGTGACTTTCTGGAAAGTACAATTTCTATTTACTCTAAAAAAATCCATCACAAAAGGTTGTTGAGCTTACCACCCTCAACACTTGTTTTACTAACTATAACACATTCATTTATAAAAAAAAATACTCAAACATTCATTTTCTTAATGTCTACACATGCTCATATGACCAAAATAATTTTGTGTTTCCGATGGCACTATTTAGTGTTGTTAACTTAATGTACACACTTGTGACACAAAACAGCTGTTTTCCTGCTGGCTCTTAGCATTGTTGGTGGAAAGAAAGAAAAAAATAAAGATGCGCCTGGTCTTTTCTTATAATTACGATTAAGAAGTGGAACTTACTTGTTTAGAGAGTAACTCCTTACACAAGCTGTAAAGAGTAATAAATTTCCTGGCCAGCAGCCTGGCATCCAGAAATCCTTCAGCAACTAACATAATTTCACAGATGAGCTCAAAATCTGGTACTACCATAGCACATGGTCTACAATTTTAAAAACAAAATCTTAAAATACAATAAATGTAAAAATTTACTTGAATAAGCAACATAATAAAACATGTATGATTGATGATTATTTGATTTAATAAAATATAATAAAACCCCAAAAATAAAAAGTTTAAAAAAAAATTCATTTAAATATTATTAACCCCACAAAAATAAATATATCATACTTAGGTACATTTGTTAAGTAATAAATTTTGGATTAAGTCAGTTGGAATAACTGGTTCCCTGTTCATGTCAACTCTAAAGACAATTGAAAAATGGGAATTTTCTCAAAATGTATTACAAGAAAAAATTGAAAAGGTTTTAAAAAATATTTAAACATCCACTCAATTTTTACCTAAATAAAGCTTTGAGATTCTCTGGTAGCTCAGCTCTTCCGGCATAGCCAGGATTCATCGTGATAAATGCTCCTACTGTTGGAACCAGCTTGATATTTTCTCCCATAAAATTGAATCTCTTTTTCTTGTCTCTTATTGCATCCTGTATTGTCTTCACCTGGGCAGTGCCAAAAAATATTTAATTCTACATTAAAGGAGAAAAACATTTTTGGGTCAGCAGTGTTATTTTTGTGAAATTTTCAAATTTTGCTTGAATTTAATTAATTGATTTTGTTATCTACCTGTACAGCAATCACAGACAGCACTTCCACTGCAATCCTGTTAAATTCATCAAAACATCCCCAAGCTCCAGACTGGGATAAACCTTTAAATATATTACCCACAGACTGGAAAAAGATTTTCAATAGTTATTACATCACTTAAAAGATTTTTTATACTAATAGTTTATAAATAGTTTGATTTGATTTATTTATTCCTTTTTTTACAAGTCAAATTTTATGATAGGTTATCAATTTTTTAAAATAATTTCTAATGTTTTAATTGAAATTTGGAAAAGTATATTCTTTATTTTTTGCATGATTACTTTAAGTATCTCTATCATTTACATTTTTGAAAATTGAATGGCCTTTCAACATATTATATTATTTTTAAGTTGTTTTGGGGTTACTTAACACATACATAAAATAATTTGATGTGCTTTAAATTGCCATTTTTATTACCTTATAATCCATCTGCTCAGAACAATTAAATACATACACCATTATACCAAGAGCTCTGCCCAGATCTTTTGTGGTTTCTGTCTTGCCAGTACCAGCTGGTCCAGCTGGAGCTCCACCCATAATTAAATGGAGAGACTGAGTCAGGGTGATGTAGCATCTATTGATAAAACTATATGGCTTTACATTCAACTTAGATTTATAAGACATTGGATATTAAAATAATGTGCTGTATCTCAGAAAAATGTTAATTTTTATTTTTAAAACAGTGTCAGCAAATGCAACTAGAATAATAGCCATAATTCATAACTTTTTTTAATATTATTATTATGTACAACTTAGCAGAGTACTGATACATTCTGACCAGAGTATTTGAAGTTTAAAGAATCAAACATATTATGTTGATTGAATATTATCAACCTGTCAGTTAATGGTGTAATAACAAGTCGAGGTGTGTTGCCTAAATATTCCTTATCATAGCGGAACTGAGCATCACAAATATTGGCAAAACAGTCATCCTCTTTATGGTCCCATCTATGTCGAAGTTGGGATAGCCATACAAAACACTGGCCATTGTCCACCTGATCAAGAAGTAATGTTTTATAACTCATTTCAAAGTTACATCGAAATCTTTAAAAATTTTCATAAAGAATTTGCTCTAACAGTTTTCTAGATTGTTAAAATTTAAACAAGAAATAGTCATACAGAAGTTCAAAGTTAATCTCTTATTTAAATGCTAAAATAAAACCATTTGTGTTATTTCCATCCCATTCATCTCCTTCTCAAGATGAAAGTGATGATGTTTTAAATAAAATAGAATTTTAAAAAAGGAATTAAAAATTATTTTTATTTTTAAACTAAGCTAAAACACTTTTTTTGTTTGTTTGTGAAAAGACATCAGGGTACGTTAGTCCAAATCTGATTGCCTAATCTAATTATATTTCCTGCCTCAATAATCTCAAGTCTATATAAACCAGTTATCAAAGTAATCATGTTAAGAAAAAGTGACATTTTTTAAAATACTGAGTACCAGTAACTAAAAAAATAGTGCTGAAATATTCTTCTATTGTCAAAAATGTATTTTTGTAACCATCCACTAACTTTCAATGCAATCATTTTAGCCACCACATCTCTAGCATGGACATCAATTGTGCAAATAGTCATAATTTTTTGTCTGTCTCCAACACTGAGGTCACCTAATAGTAAGTTGATGAGACTGTTCAGTTGCCCAATCTGAAAATAGACAATTCAAGGAAATGTCATGTATGTATAATTTAATTTATGACTTTCCTGTACTCATAAAATGAGAAGCGCTACTTGTCAGTCTGCTTCAACTCACCTGCTTTTTTAAATAATCTTTAAGGGCACCTTCGTGACCCTCTTCCAACTTAAAGAATGCTTGATTCACCTCAGTTGTCCACCAAATTTGAGTTCCACAGAGAGCAGGCTGAAAAGAAAAACAAAAATTAAAAAATATTGATGTATTTATTTGAATTAAAATAATGGCATAAGTAAAAGACTCATCATAGGGTGAGTACCTGCTGTTCAGTTATTATAGTTTGTTGCATTACCTGTGCTGGATAGTCAAAGATCCACTTCTCTCTGGGCTTTTCTTCATATGAGGCCACAGCCTCACTCATCTCTTTGCGAATTGTAGCTTTCATATCATCCTCAACACGATTTAGCCAGACTTCAACCTTGACAATGTGGAACAAAAAGCTTTGGCCGAAGAATACATGACGAGAAAATTACTTTGCTACTAATGCAATTATTTTAAAACTCAAAATAAACTAGAATCTTAAATTATCAATGACTGTTTTAAGAAATTTTTTTTTTTTAAATTTTGTTAGAAACTAAAGCATTAATTCTCACTTGATACAAACACAGTTCAGCAAACTAATCTTTAATGTAAACAGGACATTCACCAAATCAAACTGAACTTCAGAGAGTATTATTTATGGCATACCCTATATATCACATTTTCAACCTCCATAAATTTTGTATGGCTTATCCTAGTGAATAAATTAAGTAACTTCACACAAATTCAGCAAAGATTTTGTCAAAATTATATCTATATATTAAAAATCCAACAGAAATCCAATTCTCACCTGGCCAGATAGATCACACACATGTTCTAGTTTAATTCGTTCACCTTCTTTACTGAACATTGCATGAGCCATAGGAGGATCGCCTTTAGCAATCTCAAGGTTTGCTAAACTATCAAAAAGTTTTGTCAACTGTTTGGCAACCTAAACACACACACAAAAAAGTGGGGGAAAATGTACATCACTTTAAAAGTATGAAAGGCTTTTCAAAATTTGTGTACTGAAAAGTAACCATAAATTACAAAAAGAAGGTTTAACTCCTTCACAATTTTAGATGTACTAAATTGGGACCATTAATATCCAATAACTTAGGCTGATTTTTTAAACATTGCAGTGTTTTGGTAAAAATGGTTAATAAAACTGGTGATGATTAACCTTACCAGACCACTGCACCGCTTTTTTGGTAATTTCTAAATCTGCCGCTATACCGCTCTACCTAATTTTCGGTACTTTGCTTACTACGTGAAAAAATGCATCACAAACTAACCACTTGTTTGCATGTAACTAATACTTTTCTATACCATGATGGTTTTTTCTCTTTAATGCTCAGGGGTCCAGGTATAGGGGACAGTTAGGTTCAGGGCCTCAGGCCTAGTAGGGTTAATTTAGGAATTATTACACATTAAAATGTTCACAGCAACTGCTTGGCACTATGAGTAGTTATAATAAAAGAAATAAACTAGAATTACAGACAAAAATTCATAGAGGGAGATAAACTCACACAAAATTAATTCAGGAGGCTGCTAACTGAAAGTGGAAAAGAAAAAGAGTGTCTCAATTATAAATTAATATTTCAAAATCAAGAAATTAAAATGTAACAAAAAAATTATTCATTAATTCTCTGAAATATTTAAACAATGAATTACAAAATAGTAAAAAGAAATCAATGTCCAATTTTAAAACAAAAAGCGGAATCTTACAACAGGTGGGTTGTTTCCATTTGACAAAATGTCCAACAGATCTGCAGATGAAACGAAATAGAAACGAGGGAAAGCAAGTCGCTTTGTTTCAAGGTATTCAGCTAAGGCCTTCTCACATTTCACAAGCTCTTTTTGTATGCTGTCCAGTCTGTCATAAAGTCTGGGCTGATTGCAGGCATCTACAACGATTTTTGTTACACTCATTTCACTTGCAATTTCCTGAAGAAATTTATGAATTAAAATAATCAGTTAATAAAGAAGCAGTTTTTTTAATAAGAAGAATCATATCATGTTTTAAAAAGGAATTAAAATATATTTTACCATAGTTAGTTTAACATTTTTAAAAAAAAAGTAATTAAGTTTTCTACATTGACTTTGATATTTTTTTATGACTTCTAACAGATTACAGAAGCATAATAAAAAATATTTTGGACAGAAAATAACCAAATCATCCTTGACATACTTTACCTTAAAATTGTTGTCAACACGCTCAAATCTGTCTGTATCTTCTGGGAGCTGCTTTCTAATGTCTTCTGATCCAATAAAAATACTTTCTAAATGCATCCATGTCCGTTGGACTTGCATATATATTGATATTACCTATTTTGTGGATCGGAAAACAAATAAATTTATGAGTTCTAATAATCCGTTTTGACTCAAAAGATGATAAAGTCCTTTTTCGCGTAATGATAGGACACAAAATACAAAAATTACCTGGTCAGTAACAGACAATTTCTGTTGCCACGTTGACACTTGTTCCAGAAAATGGGCAATGTATTTTGATGTCATCATATTTTGCAATTGGACCTGATTTTTCAAAGGAAAAATTATGATAAATATAAAACTGTTAACAACATTTACACAGCTTTAATTTGATGACATTTTCAATCATTATTTTAGTAAGCTTAAGAGCAAATAGTTCTATAACCTGATTGTCTTCTAATGTTTCGATGACCTCCTCCTCTGCAGTCAGTAAAGTTGTCTTTGTCCTGGGATGCTCAGTGTGAATAAAGGCCATATTTGCCCATGTCACCCCGAATTCCCGAAGTGTTTTCTCCATGCTGGTCTCTTTCACAGCTTTGTCCACAATACCATGCACATCTTCCTCAAACTGGTGTAGATTTAGCTTCAGCAAGTCATACATTGTTGTGTCTTTGTCCATTGCAAAAGTAACCTTAAATACATTTGATGTCAAAATAAGGAACAATATCAGCAGTAGTAACATTTAAATAATTTTGCAACCAATTTTACACTTACGTCAAACCTTTGCAAAAACTTCACCTTTTTACAGAAATGATGCAACAATGTTAAAAACTCTATGATGAAATAAAATGATATAGACTTTGAATTGATCACCAATGAGGACTATATTTTGTCTGCAATAGGATCCCAGTTACACCATTAGAAGCTTTTGTTAACTTTCTTGAATGTTTTTTTATAAATTCTGAGACAACTGAGTACTTATTGCAGCTGTGTGTAAAGGTACCACTAGTCCTGATTACCAACAATAAAAATTAACCTCAGTGAAAAGCACCTCTCATCAATGGAGAGGTAAATAAAACCATATTAAGAAACTGTGATAAATATACTCAAATGTATACTATAGAGTATTACTAATTTGTATTTCTAAGAAGGGTTTGTTCTTTAGCTTTTCATATTTATTTTTAGTTGATTTCGTGTAAATTGCCTGGGTTTGCCATAATTAGAACTAATGAGGTATGATTAATGTAAAGATTTGCTATCATCAAGAGTTACACAAACTAAAGCAATAGTTTGATTCAAACATTTCAGCAACCCTACTTTTTGCCATGCCCAACTATTGGATTATAAAGCTGACTGAGTCACTAAAGACTCACTTGTGTTGCTGACATCAGTTCATCCCAGTGCCTGTCTCTGATGGCTGGATTCTGTAGCTCTCCCACGGCCCTCAGTGATGTAATCATGTTCTTCAGATCATTCTCCAGCCCCAGGTACACATCCCATGACCTCATTTCCTTGTCAAGGGTTCGGATCTCTTTCGAGAGTTTTTTACAGTCTACATCCATCTTTCATGGTTATAAGGAAGAAAAACAATTGCAAGTATGAATAATTCAGTCAGTTCTTGTCAAAGAGTCAGGAATTGTTAAAAAAACTTTTTTGTTTTTGATATACCATGATGGTTGTTTGCTTCCAACTTGGAAAAACATTTGCAGATTTCCCATTGATATTCCTGTGTTATGACTCACCTGTTCCACATCAATCTCAGCCCAGAGAATGTTGTTCCAGAATTCAAACATCATCCTGACCATTATCACATAATCCCACAGAATCTTCAACAGGCGGAGCTCAGAACGGCAGACTTTGAGCTGTTTAAAGTCTGGCAGCTGGACATCGAAGATTTTGGCAGACTCTTGCATTTCTGCCATCTCTTTTTCCATCTCCATGAGTTCTTCATGACACTGACAAACACAAAGACTTGGCTATCTATTATACAAAACACAACTAAGAAAACCACTTTATCATGTTTATTATTATGTGTAGTTTGTTTCATACATAAATTCTTCAGATTTGATTAGGACTGTAGCATGCCCAAAAGCATGGAGAAGGTAACCTTTTTTGAGTGAAGAGACATTTATTGTATAAATTATATCTGCCAAGAAAATATTTTGGGAGCAGCAGGCAGGGTGGATTGTTTAAGTCATAAAAGATTTTTTTTTTTAAAAAGCTGCATATTCCTTCAAAGCCCAGCATGTGGCTATGCAGTTGCTGGTTCCAGACCACTGCCCTAAAGTAATTTGACTACCAGGTTGGACCTTTAGAACAGGGGAAATTACCTTCATCTGGCCCAGTCCCTGTATAGAGGGTGGATTTAAACTTTGAGCTGATCTGTATTTTATCTCTGTCAAGTTACATAACATGAACATTAGGTTAGGACTGGAGTGGAAGTCATTTTTTAAAACTGTGGTACTATCAGGACATCATTAATTGGCCGTTGAATATTCTAAAATGTCTTTGAGTAAAATTTCTTCTGGTTGTTTGACCACTTTTTTATATTGAAGAAGTCTTGTCCTTTAAGTGTGTACAAAGCTATTGTATAAAAATCAATAAAGTCTGTATCCTTTTATTTTTATCTCCTGAAAAGACTTTGTTGTTGACAAGCATCCACCAACTCACATTATTGATGATAATATACGGCTTTGTGCAGTTGTAGAAGAAAGCTGGGCACTTCCTGAAGTTTTCTCTGTAGGAGTGTTGCTTAACATCAAATGAAATCATCTTCCTCTTGATCTTAGCCACCTGGTTCTGCTGTAGAGGCACAACAGCTTGCTTCATCAGCATTACTTTCTTCTTGAGCTGGGTCCATTTGTCTGGCAACTCCTGGAGAAGATATTAAAACACACTGATTAAATTGCAGTTTGATATAAATAATGTGATACAACAATGTAAATAATCATATTCGAGACTCAACTTTAAAATGAAATGTCAATAGAATAGCTTAAAAGCCTTTCATTTTTTTAAATTAACACAATACAGCATGCAGCAAAACTAGCAGAATTGAAACTTGAGCATCTTGAATTTGTACTTGCATTTGACAACGGTGCATAGGTCCAGCTGCCTAAGTGACCATAGGAGTGAAAAGGGTTATATGATAGGCACTTTTTGTTTGAAATGGGTTTCTCCAGGAAAGAAAAAGTATTCATAGTTGAGCAATATTTTCACTCGTACGGAGGTGAATGTAAAGGGTGACCATGTTTTTAAAAAAGTTGGAAGCACAATTCTGAGAAAGATTTTTTTTTTAAAGGCAACAAATAACACAGTTCTTGAAAGGCACTTGTCAATCTCTCGTTCCTATAAAAATCTGGAACCTCGTACACCATAGCCAGAAATTTCCACATCAACCTGGCTCGCATTTCTGGCTCCATCAAGGGTTGTCCAACCTGTATCAGGTAAAAAAATGCACCTATGTACTTAAACAATCAGCAAACAGACGTATTGCTGATATTCAGTTTGAAGGATGTTCCTCTTAAATTTCATAGGGGTGAACGCAGCATATAATTCTGGAAAACACAGGTGTGATTCTAAATATTAAAAAATTTACTGGTCCTTCAGACTTCCTCATCCATTATTTAAACATTAACGGTGATATTTTTTGACAATAGACAGCATAACTATGTTACTTGGTGATGTCTTAAGATAAGATACAGTTAGATTGAATTCTTTAACTGATCCAAATAAATGTAAATGTTTTTTTTTACATTGTACATATTCAATTTCAGCACATAAATAAATACTAATATTTTAACCAAGACCACATTTTATCTCTCTTGAAATTGATCTGACATGATCCCCCTTCACCATCACTTAATCACTTTCATAACAGTGAAAATGATGGTCAACTATGAATATTTTTTCCTCCGTCAAAGAGACCCATTTACAACAAAAACTGCCCAAAATATAATCCTTTTCACATGATGGAACACATGGTGGCTGGAGCTATGCATCTTTGACCAACGGATGTAAGCATTCTAGATGTGTGAGTTTCAGTACTGTTGCTTTTGGAGCAAAATGTATATATTAGGGCTAAACTTCTGACAAACTTTTTGACAACTAGAACTAAAAGGTGGATCTCCCAGCCAGCAAGTTCTGAATGAAACTTTTATATTTTACTATAGCACTTTCTAGTAAGACAACTTGACTCAAGCAAGAGTTTCTTGCTCATTACTTTAAGGAAGATCAATAAACAACCATGATGCATCAATTCCCAAATGTTAAAAATATCTCTAGTTTTAATAGCAAACATCACATCAATAACAAATGGAACAAATGTGCAAAGTCGCACAACCAACCTCCAGCTGGAGATAGACTTTCTCAGACATTTCCACTCCACAAGTCTTCAACATGTCAATTGTCTGCTTGAGTGGCTCAAACATGATGTCTGTCTCTGCCTGCCTGTCTCTCACAGCATTCAGCAGGCCCATTATCTCCACTAGGCCATGGTAGTCTCCATCTTTGGGTTCCTTGGCCAGCCCTTTGTTGGTTTTAACAATAAACTCTTGGAGTCCATCCAATCTTACATGCAGAGAAGCCAGATGAATTGATAAGTAATTAGAGCGGGTATGATTTTTAAGATCAGTGTATTGTTAACCAACAGGACATGAAACAAAAAATCAAGTGTGCCACAAAAATACATTGAAAAATTTCACAATTTTAAAGTTTTGACTTGCTTTATAACCTTACCACCAATTTTTGTATAATCTCTTCAATAACATTAACAAGAGCAAGGAGAGCCTACATTAATGTCTAAGGTACAGGCAAAAACAAATTAATACTATTTAAGGAGTTAAATAATGAGACTGACAAAGGTAATTTAAATATCTGACTTGTGCAATTTCATTATCCCCCATTTCCCTTAAGACAATCAGTAGTATCTTAATTCTTATAGCGGGCTTGGTGTAAACAAAAACCAATAAATAATATTTTTTTACAGCTCAGATTCTTTTGTTATTCAACCTCAAGAGCTATTTTAGAACTCACCCTCCTGTAACTTTATCTATGAGATGCTGCTTAAACATATGACTCCATCTCTTCACAACATTGAGCAGGCCTTGTTTGAAGGCCCTGGCGTCTACACGTAGCCATTTTGAAAACACTTGAATTGCTTGCATTTGCTCTATCTCAATATAGAGATTCTCATAGTATTCAATCTGGGAGAAGACATTGACAAAGAACGTGGGATATGGGTTAGTGAATAAATTACTTTTGAGAATATTCAGAGTGTAAGTATTCAGAAAGGGTTGTAAGACCAAGTGGTGCAGGAGAAATGCAGAAAAATGATACCATGAGTTTTTGAAGTAGTTAAAACAATTTGCATTGAAGATTTTACTTTTTTTTTTTAGGTAAGCGAAACTTTTGATCTTGTTTAATTTTGACCAAAATTAAAGATGCATATTTATGGTATGTGTGCCTGTTCTTGCATGTTGAACTTTGGAGGTTTAACCAAGCAAGGTAAATTTTCCTTTTGTGTAACTTTGTATATTAAACCTGCTTAAAATAATTAAATATTGTTCCTTCATTTCTCTAATAAGATTATGTGTAGAATGACAGCAACTGTTAACACATTCCTGACTTAAACACATTTAACAATTTTTAAAAAAAAAATTTTATATTCCAAACAGATTGGGAACATTAATGTGGCGTCTCACATCTTGGATTCATCAAATTTGTACAGGCATTAACACATGATATCACATTCTCTTCATTCAACAGTAATCCACATTTAATGTTTAGTTGTTTGTTCAGGTTACCAGATCTTATATGTAAAGCATTGTTAAATGGAAATATTTCTTATTTAAAAAGAGCTTTAAAGTCCTGAAATTCCCATGAAACAATCCTAAAAGCCCCATTGATGTGGCTTGAAATGCATAGTTTTCCAGATGTTCACATTTTCCTACCATTTCTTTGAACTGAATCAACGAGGGCGGGGACTCTGGGATGCCCTCATCACCGGCCAGTGAGATCTCCTCCTGGGTTGGCCTGTGGTTGTACTTGAGGAACATGTTCATGTACTCTTGGCGGTCTTCCACCCACAGGCTAGAGTAGGAGTTGAGTCCATCCCTGTACTGGGTCACCTCCAGGATGACTTTATCCACTGCATCCAGCAAGTTGTCCTTGATGTCAGACAGCTCGCTGTTGGCCTCAATACAAGACTGCAAAACCATTTGACATAATATCTTTTAAGTAGGCTGGAGAGAATTTCCTTAATAAAGACACTAATAAAAGGTGTTCTAACTTTCTGAAGACTAAGGCAAGAAAAGCGTGAGAAGAAAGGTATTTCTTTAAAGTAATCTGTTGTCATTGGGGAATGTCATGAAAACTGAAATGGCGGGGAAACTTCAACCAAAAAGGGCTCCATGGTGCAATTAGTTTTTCTGTTACATTCCTTTTTCCTGAAACATCTTCATCTTTCTGTGTTAAGAAATTTTTTTTTTTTTTTTTTTTTTTTTTTTTTTTTTTTTTTTTTTTTTTGTAATTAAAGACAGGATGGTACGTGAAATTTCTTTTCCAAGAATCAACAGACATGTAACTTCTCTAAGTAGAGACAGTATTTCTCTCTTGTCTTACCTCATATGGAGATAGGTCCCCAGATTTGAGCCGAGGGATGAGGGATGCCTGTGTGTAAATATCAGCTATCAAACTTTCAATGAGATCCCAGAACCCCCCTTGAGCACCAGGCTCCACATCAGGGATGAAGGTCATTTTGGGAGCATGCAGCTCTAGAAGTACTTCAAAGAGAGGTCCTATCGTCTTCTCTGGATTGGCATTTTCTAAGAGGTACCTCATACTGCATGCTAGTCAGAATTAGGAAAAAAAGGTAAGTTTGAGTTGAATTTTTTTGTGAGAAATCTTTAACATTACTTAAAGTGAACTTTAGGAATATCATGTGTTTTGTTTAGGCCTACCTGGCCTAATTTGTTTTCATGTCATCAAACAATGCAGGCTACATATGCATGGAACATTCCAAAGCTACTTATATACTGCCAAGGGTGGTTTGATAAAAAAATACAAACAAACCAATACTCACCAACAACATGGACAAATCCATCAATGACCATTGCATCCAAATAGTCCACGTACTTGAGCCAATCCTCAGACATGACATCAGCATCAAAAAGTCCTCTGTTTGTCTGGAAATAATAAGAAATTATCATTTAGAAAGAGCACATTCAGGATAAACTGTTTAAGTTACAGACTGAGATGAGAGTCCTATATTTTTTCCTTCTCATTTAGCATACATGCCAACCTTTGGAATAAAGAAAACTGTATAAAAAGTCCCAAAAAGCTGTACAATAGCATGAAAAGCTGTAGAGAAAAATTGAAAAGTCAAAAACAGTTAAATTTATAACTTTTTCATGAATAGTCTCCCCTTCACTGCAGGCACATTTAAGCATGTTTACTGCATTCATAAATGGATATTAATATCACATCTTTTAAAGCAAAATTGCTTGTTATAAATCTGATTTTCCAGGTTTGTTTTTTACACAGAGCAATAAAAAAATTTTTTAAAAATGGTCAGATGACAAATTTGATAGCAATTTAGATGTAATTAGACATAATTCTTTGGTTAATTATGCCAGCTGAAATAATACAGATTCCTGTATTTAAATTAACGAAGTTAAGGAAGTTCGTCTAACTTACAAAGTTGTTGTTACTTTTTACTCTATTAGCCAATGTAATATATAGGAATAATGACTAATGACAATCATTGATTGATTTTAATATTTAATATATATAATTAGTTAATATAAATAAAAGTGCACTTACTTTAATAGCAGTTCTTAATTTTGATTTACTACTCAAAATAGTTACTATAATACCATGCTGTCTTAGTATTAATGAATATCAATGAAACCGCATGACCAGTTTTGAATACATGTCTCGTGCAAAAATGTTTCTTTTCTAAATCCAGTGGAAAACTGTACAAAAACTTGCATGGCGTAAAAACCTCGTAAAAAACCTCAGCAAACTTTACAAAATACAAGTAAACAGTACAGGGTGGCATGCACACATTCATAAATTAAACTTAGCGTAAATTTATTACATTTTTTTACAACTGTTTGAACCATCTGGAATTACCTCCATTAAATCTAAAACCTCAATGCCTGCTGCGGTTATTTCATTGTAACGTTTCTTGATAGCCTCTTGCCGGTCGGTCAGTCCCAAAAGGTTGTCCAGTTTCTCCTTCCTTTCAAACAAGGGGTTCTGAGACCAGGTCGCCATTATTGTCTTAAGCTTTTCAACGTTGTCCTTAGTTTGCTGGACTTTACTGGTCAAGTCTTGCACTTGGGTCAGTGAGTCTGCTATGTATTCCCAGATATCTGTATGAAATCATAATAGGATTGGTAGAGTTTATTTTTCCCTTAACTATATTATCGAAGTAGTTAATAATAATACAATGTGTTATAGTGTGGTTATGCTTGTGGAAACTTTGCTTTTAAAATGTAGCTGTATCTTTCAACTTTTAAATTTCTTAGCAGTATAATGCTTGTGATATATTTTATGAATCTGGCAAAGAAATCCACACACATTTTAACAATAAATTAAAATTTTTCATGGTCCCCAAAAAAAGAGAGTTCTAGAGTTGGAGTCCAAATGTTGATGAACCTTTTGAGGCTTACGTGCGTAAATTTTATTCTTACCCCACAAATCCTACTCCAAGTTACTAAAGCCCCTGTTCCACAAAAGTATCTTTAAGGAAAATCCCTCAATTAAAAGAATTCATCACACAGTAATAAAGAGGGCTGCAGTACTTTCTCAGCACCCATAGACCAACTAACCCTGCATTTCCCAGGCTAGAGTGGTCAGGGCCTGTTCAACGTGCTGGTCAATCTTCAGCAAGTGTGGAGCGATCAAGGGTTTTTCAACAGGCAGCGAGTCTGTGATAAGCTTGTTGTACAGCTGCATAATGAGCATCAGGTTGGCATAGTATTTGAAGAGCATGTCCCTTTTCTCAAATACTCCCTCTGGGATCACCGGAATCAGTTCTTTATTACGGAGCTTCAGGTATTTCATTTCTTTTAGTACAGCCACCAACTGCAACAAGTCAAAAGAAAACAACTTGTCATATTTTATTAATTAAGTCCATTAAAAAATGCTGAAAATGAATGAGCTGAGAAAATGGAAAATTTATTCAGATTTTACTGGCTGGAATCTGAATTGTAGAAATGTAATCTTATCAAACCAGCTATATAGCCTGACAAAAATGGCAACCAGAATGCAAGAACTTCCCATCTACTTAAGTATCTTTACAAAACATGCACTCAAGTAATATGCTTTATAAGAATTCCAATTAGTGCTCCCCACCCTCCAAGTTTCACAACCATACTATTTCATGCCCCTGAACTATATTAATATTCTAATGTCCCACCCCATTTTATACCGCAGATTTATAACACCATATTTAAATTGAGATTAATTCCATAAAACAAAGGAAAATATCACACACTTGGAATATTTTTAAGAATCTCATTTAGCGCAGTTATCTGCAATTTTATTTAATGAAATCAGTGCTATCAGGTAGCGTTAGTGACATTGTTACATAGAGAATTATGTATTTTGACAGTCCAATTTTAGATTCTTATTAAAATAAGTATATAAATATTAATGTTTAAATAATAATCATCAAAAATCATGTCATTTCTCCTTATATTTTATGCCAAAACGTAAAAATTCCTGCTTAAATTGTGTTCAAGAAATTGATAACAAATGGACTTTAATGCAGTCATGGAGAATGTTTAGTTAAAATTAGGGGCCTACTGATGGCAGAAGAGAATATGAAACTGTGTGATAATTAACATCTTTTAATTTTTTAACCTACAAATAAAATCTCAATGAGCAGTATGTTTGAGTGATTTCTCTTTACCTTGTCGTCAAAGTTGACACTGAGAAGTTGAGTTTCAGGATCTCGTGTGAGTAGAGGCTGTGCCATGTTGAAGGAGCAAATCTCGTCTACTGTAGACAGCCAAGTGTTGAAATAGAATTTGTCATTCCTTAATGGTGGATGCAAATAAAGTAACAGTTAAAGATAAGAGCACCAAAAAAAAATTTAGCTCTTGAAAATGTGTTAAGTCAGTGGTTCTTAACCTTGTTGGAGGTACCGAGCCCCACCAGTTTAACATGCGCATTCACCGAACCCTTCTTAATAGGAAAGATAAAATATGATTTTTTTTTTTCTGATTTTTTTTGGACCTCCGTCGAACCCCTGAGACTGACTCACCGAACCCCTGGGGTTCGATCGAACCCAGGTTAAGAACCACTGTGTTAGGTAGTAAAAAATATTTTTTTTTTTTAATTTACATTTAAATTATAGGTTATATTTTCAAATTAATTTTTAAATTATATATTTACAAACATTTTAACACAATATATTACAATAATCACTACAAAACTTTACTTAAAATTCAAAACATCAAATATATTATAATATATAAATATATCTTAGACTGCTCAAATAGTGGACACCTGGCAACCTTAATCCAGTCTCAAGTGAAACTAACATAAATTTTTATTTCTTTCATGACACATTTTTTTTTAAAAATGTATCTAACAACTTACTGGTCAAGTAAATTCTTTAGATCTTCCAGTCGTGTATACACACGCTTGTAAGCCGCTGTGTTTTTTATCCTTGAATATAGCAAGAATATAGAAATAATAAAATATTAAACTTAAACCATAAATATAATATAATTATAAAGGATTTATTATCATATTCATTAAATAATTTATTAAATAATTATATATCACTATCAGTTAATTGTTTCTTTTCAAATGGTCTATCATCAGTCAACTATCAATATCAGGTATCATTTTCACTTGGGAAAATAAATTATATCCATAATATTATTATTTATATAATATGCAAATATGCAATTAAATAGCGATAATATGCACATAAATAGGCCTATACACTATACACATTTCGTAAAATCAATCAATTAATAGCACAACCTCCAACCTCCATGGAAGCATGAGTATATAGTATATTAGCTAGTTATTTAACATTAATTAGTTAAATGTTACTAAGTTAGCCCGAGTTCTCAGATTACTCAGAAGGATTCCTATTTGATACTGAGTCACCGTGAATATATATTTTATATCATATTAATATCACATCAATATGTCAATAATATTTGATTTATTTGTCAATAATGTATTCGAAACATCCGTGAGAATCTGTCATTGATACCAATTGTTTCATGCTTTTAATGGTTTATTTTAAGAAATATATTTAAACTTATGTCATATTTCTTATCAAGTAATTTAATGAGTCAAAAGTTAAGGCCAATTTCAATTTTGTGATTTAAACAAATTGAAAATGAAAACTATTTTTCGCTGGTCTGTGTTTTTATCGTTATCTGCTGAATTTTTGTGGCCGGTGTCTGTCAAATTTTAATCCGAGTAAAAAGTATTTTTAGTATCAATTGACTTTCCATGCAACGCTAATCAAAATATTTCGTTAATTCCAACAACCTTACAACTATTCAAAATTAAATTCTTAAAATTTTGCAACACCCAGTATCAATGAAGTAGGGCCTATATTTTGAGTAAACATTGTTCTTACAGTCTTACACAAGAACTGAAATTGAGCCGCTATTGGAGTTAGCGATACGGAATTTAAAAACAAAAAAATTATGTGTCATGATCCACACGGAAATCGAACAAGTTATGTGAATTATATTGTGGGTGGCTAATTGAAAATAACAGTAAAACTAAAACAATTGGTTATTTTGGAGAAAGAGAATGATTAAAGCGTCATATATATTAACAAAAGTATTCGCTAAATGAAATATTTGTAGCTCCTTTCACCACAAGTGAACCTAAAATACAAATAAAACTTCTCGCACGTCTGAAAATCTTAGAAAATGGCTTATATTATCAGTTATTAGATATGTAGAAAGAGTTTATCTATGCTTTTGTAGTTTATACCGATGAGCCGTTTAGACAGCTTGCAGATCTTTTCAACTTTTCGAAACACAAATATGTTAACTTTATTTAGAAATACTAATTTTTTGTATTTTCATGCTCCTCATCATACCCAAGCTGTGCGATTGAAAGGTGGTAGTGAGGTGGAAGCCACCCTGGGCACTAATAGGGGCATCAAAATTTGCAATAAGCTATATATTACATCATTTATTTTTTTAACGGTGGAGGGGGCCACCATTTTCAGGCCTTGCCCGGAATCCTGTATCCTTTACATAGCTCCATCCTGATTTTGTATTTTAAAAAACTGGAGGGGGCCACCATTTTCAGGCCTTGCCCCGGAATCTTTTATCCTTTACACGACTCCATCCTGATTTTTTTAAAAAAATTGTTAGTGGCCAATTTTATGTAGGAACTAACTATATTGTGTCTTACGGGTGTTCGATTCGTGCATACGACTCCATGTAGATGGACACTCTGTTGTACACCTCTCGGGCCCAAATCATGGCCCCCGCCATTGGTGGCATGTTTTTGTGGACGGCCATACGCCCCGTTTCTCGCTTGTAGGCCATCTGCCAGGTGAAGGAGGGCAAACTGATTAACTTTGAATGACATTATTCAAATTACATTATGCAATTCAAAGAAACAATAACGAAAGTAATTATACAAACATTTCATTTCTTTATATTTAAGTGCTTCATTACTTTCAAAAATTCCTTTTTAGTGACTTAGGCCAACTCTCCAAAGACTGTAACTATTGTAGGGGGTCACAGAGCCGTCACATGACTTTTGGAGGCACCCTGGCACTTTTCGGTTGTGTGCCCCTGCATTCAAAGCTGAAAGTTTATTTTTTCCACATCATATTTTTGGACCCTTTAAATTTAAATATCAGAGGCCCCCTGCAGAGCCCGCGCTACGTATCTGTGGGTCGGATAACGAATTCTCACCTGCTCTTCATAGAGTTCAAAGCACGTGTCTAATGCTTCGTTCATCAACCGCACAACTTGCGGGTACTTGTCGTCAAAGTCCTTCATGATGAGCTCACGTTCCAACAGTGGACCCATCATCTCTATAAGCTAGGGCATTGTGGGACGGGGTGAGCATTGACAATAGTTAGAGATCAGCAGCAATATAAATGTACTGACCCCCTCCCCCGTTGTCTCTATCAGCTGGGGAGTAGGGAGGGAAGATGGGGAATAACAACAGCTTGAGATCAGTTATTGAATAAATGTAATGACCCCCCCCCCCCATGTAAATGGACACTGTTTTGCACCACCTGTCGGTAGCGAGGGACGGTGAGTCATGACAACAGCATGAGATCAGTAATAATATATAAATGTACTGCCCCCCCCCCCCGTTGTCTCTATCAGCTGGGGAGGAGGGAGGGAAGATGGGGAATAACAACAGCTTGAGATCAGTTATTGAATAAATGTAATGACCCCCCCCCCCCCATGTAAATGGACACTGTTTTGCACCACCTGTCGGTAGCGAGGGACGGTGAGTCATGACAACAGCATGAGATCAGTAATAATATAAATGCACAACCTCCATCAAATCAATCTTCTCTAGCTGAATGTACGGAGGCATGAGATATAATAATAGTTACTGTTGTTGGTCATAAAGACGTGAAATCAATCTTATCTAGCTGAATGTACGAAGGCATGAGATATAATAATAGTTATTGTTGCAGGTCATAGAGACGTGAAGTCAATCTTCTCTAGCTGAATATACGGAGACAGGAGGTATAATAATAGTTACTGTTGTAGGTCATAAAGACGTGAAACACAAGTTCTTAATTTAAAGGTTCCATCATCTTGACATCACCACCTGCTGATAGGTAACAATAATGTGCTAATTGTAAAAGCTACAGGGAATATTCTTGAAACTATTTAGAATTATAATGTTGGATTATTAGTTCCTAATGTGTGTTGATTTTTTAAAAACAAATTTGTAGTCTTTTAAAATGGCGTGTGTTGTTTGGTAAATACACCTTAAGGAAAATGTAACGTTATAGGCTAATATAGTTTGATTTAAAAGTGCATGTGTGCTAGGCAATCATATTTTTGAGAGATGTTCAATGTATTCACTATAAATAAAATTGTTTAAGTTCATAATACCGAAGTTCATGAGTTAATAATTACCTTGAAAATACTCTCCAAGCCTGAACAATCAAAATAGCCTTTACAAACAATAGTTGCCAGTCTTCTGTCAAAGTCCGCCATGATCATGTTAAACGTCTCGTAGTTGTGTAGGAAAGACTTAAACGAAAGTAGGAAAACTGTTACAATTTATTTGTAAGGGGGAGAAGTCATGCAGTGGCGTAGGAAGGGGGCGGAGGGGAATGAACCGCCCCTGGTGGCACTTTTTTTTTCATTACAGGGAGGGGCGGCATTTTCGGCCAACTGCAGAGTTTTTTTCCTTGGAAGGTAGGCGGCAAAATTCTCTGCCCGCCTCGGGCGACACTAGCCCCAGCTACGCCACTGAAGTGATGTATTTTTCTCTGTAAAAACACAATTGACTTTACCTAGAGATATCTAGGCCTAATCGTAATGTTTGAACTGTAAAAAGAAGGAAGGATCCAGTTTAAGTTACTTAACGTAATATAAAACTGTGGCCAAACCTTTTTTCCCCAAAATAGTCCAACTACAGTTGATATCGAGCCATGTTCCAGCACAACACTCAGTGGACACTGTCACCAGACACCCATTTTATTAATTTAAAAAAAAAATTAGATTATACCTACCGGGTCTGATGCATCCAGTGGATTGTATTTACTTTCTGTAAACAACTTGAAGGCCTCGTCAAACTCCTGGAAAATCACGATGACGTCCTCCCCGAGTGAGTTACCCTTGATTCCACCGAATTCCACCTTCTCCAGTTTCATGAAGTTCACGTTTGTGTCCATTAAGTACTTTTTTAAAACAAGAAAAAAAAAGGGGGGATCTTTACAGCACGTTGTCTGCATCCACGCCATTCGAACAAAGCTGGCTCACGGACAGGCCCTATCCATTGTAGTGAATGAACCAAACTAAGTCAGTGTATTACACCTCTTTTGGTTAAAATAGTGTTTTATCAGTTAAACACTAGCCCAACACGTCCATCAGTTGAACCTAGGTAGCCGCATGCAAGTTACAAGGGTGTGTGTACAAAAAAAAGGGGGGGGGGTGGTTGCTATGAACAATGACTTTAAAATGGTATCGGTAATAAGTAATAGGCAAAACCAATATTACGGTGTTTACTTTGTCCTGGTGAAAGAAGTGGGATGGCATCAAGGGTATGAAGAAGGCAGAACATGAAAAGGCCGCGTAAGAGGAAAGTCGTAAGTTGAAATATAATATAAATATAAAGTGCTCTATTGGTAAGTAAAACGGTGCTAGAACCCGGAACTCGCATTTGCAGACCACAAAGGGGATGGGGGAACTGCAGAGAACAATATATATTGAGATAAATTAAATTCCGCCAAAAATAGACGCCAGAACGGCATCCAGGCGCGTTCTTTAAATATATATACCACTTTATATATATATACCACTTTATATATATATACCACTTTATATATATATACCACTTTATATATATATTCAGAGAGACACTTACATAAGCAATCTTAAGTCTCTCGTGAACTTTGGTAAATCGCGAGAAGACAATATCGGGATGAAAAAACCACGGTCGAGGCGTGACGTCGGGTGGAAACATGGAAGGGAGCCTATCGCGGACCACGTTGAAGGCCTTCCTGAACGAAGACATGACCTGCTCGGCTGTCTTCACGAGTGGGATCGTCTCCGCCATGTCGCCTTTGAACATCTCCTCAGGGTTCACGTAGCTATCGACCTTGGGAGACATGATGAAAATTCAATTGGAGATTTAGAAACTATCATGCAAGTGATCTTAAACTAAATATTTTAGCACACGCTTTGCCTAAAAAAATTTTTTTACTTTTTTTTTAATTTTAAAAAGGGATAAAATGGGTGTAAGTGCGTTTTCATTTCAGATCATCTATTTGTGCTACTTAAAAATAATTCAAAAGAACAGAAATGGTTTTTCTCTTTAATAAAATGTATTTGATGCTTGTTATATGGGTTGTTCACATTTTTCATTAGTGTCAAATGACTTTTTACATTTTTTTAAACTTCAGAAGCATACTTATGTTTCAAAACTCTTTTGGTAACAAGAGAATTTTCTTTTTTTAAATACACGTTTTTGCACACGACGCTCTTCTATAAAAAGAGTCTCATTAGCTGCTAAGGTTTAGAGTTTGAGTTTTTGGGATCATTTTCTTAAGTCCGAGTTGATAGAAATCATCCAAATAAACTATGTCTTTTATATGAAAATAGTCCATAAATTTAATATCTTAAAGGTGCGCAACATTGCGCGAGATTACATGACAGAGAGGGGAGTCATCATTTTGTTTCCCTACCAAAACTATCTTATACTCAAAGATCCCGATCTCAGCAGTACATTAAAAGACTCATATGTATATTAAATAAAGTTTGATTTTATGACAAAAATAAGATACTAATTATAGGAATCATAAATCCATACTAAATTACACAATCGATGACCATCCAATTAAGTATGTGCAGTGAACTGTAAGGGGTACCCCTGATAATGTACTCACCATCTCTAATGACTACTACTGTACCCCATATTAATGCACTCACAATTTCTATGACAATTAGTTTACTCCATATCAATGCACTCACCATCTCTAATGACTACTACTGTACCCCATATTAATGCACTCACAATTTCTATGACAATTACTTTACTCCATATCAATGCACTCACCATCTCGATGACAACTACTGCACCCCATATTAATTCACTCACCATCTTTATGTCAATTACTGTTCCCCATATCAATGCACTCACCATCTCTATGACAATTACTTTTCCCCATATCAATGCACTCACCATCTCTATGACAAAATTGCACAGCATTTGTAGCAGGACGGTGATTCGTTCTGGCGTGTTGTAGTACTTCGAGTGGACCCATAACAGGCCCACCGTGTACATGAGGGGGCCCAGCAGCGGCTCGCAAACGTCGAAGTCTACTTGCTCAATGCTTTCCACGGCGTTCCTTACTGCCGTCAGGTACATGAGGTTATCGTTGGCCTCGATTAATGCTGTGTCATGGGTAGGATTTGGCGGGTAGACGGAGATGACAGGTGAAGAAAATGGAAATAGGGAAGCGCAACAAGTTAATGTTTTTTTTTTTTTTAAAGGGGGGGGAAAATTTATTTTACTTTTAAGGCTGGGCAATTTGCTCTTTAATGGGCCCCAATAGTAACAGAGCGACTTGCTTCATATGTGAGACACTGCCATACAACTTCTTAATCACGTGGGCCATGGGCTCCACCACAGGGGCGTCTACACAAGGGGAGGGGGGAGAGAGGAAGCAGCCACTTCCAATCTGAAATATGGGTGGGGGGTATAAATTCCCCTTGTCCGGTTTTGAATTCTTTAGGGCAAAAAAAAATTAATATGAGAAAGGAAAAAATAGAAGTAATATATATTTTTTATTAATGCGCAATTACAGGAGATTGAAATCAAACTTTTGGATAATACACATTGTTCACCATTCAGCCATCAAGTTACTGCCCAAGTGTTGATTTTTTTTAAACAATTAAAAATAAAGAAATAGCTATAGGCCTACTAAAATAAAATTTTTGAACAATTACTGGATTTGATCATTTTATTCGCTGTCAAATTTGAAGAATTATTCAGCTATTACAGAAATTGTAATTGGTTGTTATCAATAAATTTATTGAATATTGACTACGAAACCAACAATGTTTCAGGCACCTTTTTTTTTAACCCCCCCCCCCCTCTTATATTTTGAGGGCCGGCGATCAATTTATTGATCATTCTGGCTATGGTTTGAATTCAGAGTTTGCCTTCTCTTAGATGAATTGCTGTGGTAACCTTGGATGGCAACTTATCTAAGAGAAGGCAAACATTAAAATCAACCGCGGAGATGGAGTCCCGTAGGCTTGATGACATTTGTCTAATGACTGAACTACTGCATCCTGGCCTATTTACAAGCGTTTTGACTAAGTCTTGCCATTGGATCAAATATAACACGAGAGAGTGAGGCTGGCGAATTGAGTGACTCTCTCTCTCTCTCTCTCTCTCTCTCTCTCTCTCTCTCTCTCTCTCTCTCTCTCTCTCTCTCTCTCTTTACACAAAATACACCCCAAGTCAAGGCTACGACTCCAGTCTAAAATTGCCTGGGTCATCTTCGCGTGCGAAGGACGAACAATATTAAATAAATAAATTGTTCTTATATGGAAATAAGAGGGTATGTGGATGGCGAATGGGAAGTTCATCCCTTCACCCACATCTCTGCTCCGGAGAAAATGTTTAATTAAGATTCAGATGGTGAGTCCCAAATGTAAAGTATTCTCTATGATCTCTAACTTACCGCTAACGACGCTACTGTATAAATCCTTGAAGGACTTGTAGTAAACACTATTACCGTCCTTGAGACATCGGACCATCATTTTCACCGCAGGATTCATCAGCTGGGGGTTGGGGGGGGGGGAGGGTGATAATTAAGAGAAATCAGTAATATATAATATGCGTGTAGTATTTTTTAATTCAACTTTTCGGCCTTTAACGTAAAATAAAAACATTGAATTAACTAGACCTATATAAAAAAAAAATTATATTGGAATGAAAATTTAAAAAAAACCTAGATACCTATATTGTTTGTTGTATTTTTTAAGGGAGTTGGGGTAAACTCATTTTATTAATTTTTTTAAAATTGGTTCTTTATTCTTTCTGTACCTGCGAGTAAATCTGGTCAAAGTCTTTAGCTCTTAGCTGCCAGAATTTGATTTCTACATTAGGAGTCGGGTTTTTCCCCTCTAGGATCGGGTCTGCATTGCGGACTTTGAGAACCTCTTGAATCTCATTGCTCCACAGGACCACCATCGACTCGATCTGGTGCAGTATTCGGCGATTGATTCTGAGGAGACAAAATCAATCACTACAGCATCAACCCCAGACATTTTTTCGTGTTGGTTCGAGAATATAGCACACAACGAAATGTCTAAATCCTGGTGTTTTTTATTATTATTTGTTAAATTCCCATTTTTAGTGCCGCATCTAAAATGGCACCCGGTTTGCTTTGTCCTTGACTGTGTAAAACGGGGTTCAACGTTCATAGATGACAAGGTGTGATCGCTGTAGAATAGCTTGTTAAAATATATTAAAGTCACTTCTCCTGCACAGCGTGATACCAAATATTGAAGTGGCCTTACTGTGGTTTGCGACAGCCCGTCTGCTAGTTTAACGGTGTCATCCCCCTCTAGACCTCCACCGCGGACCTTATGTGTTTCCCGGCTCCAATGACGCCCTGATCATATGACACCCTGGCCAGATGACCAGTGCTCTGGTGGTACCCTGGTCAGGTGACACCCTGCCCTTGTGGCAATATGATCCGACGATACACTTTTCTAGTGAAGGAACCAAAAAAGGAAACAATAAATATGGTCCATGGTCGACAACAGGTGAGTATACTGGATGATATGGGGAACGCTGGAGATTGAACTCTATTCCAATCATACCTTTTTGGCCGTACAGCGTGGCGAGTCACAAACTGAAATATTTCATTCATTTTGTGGGACCGAGCGCTCTTTGGTGGCCTGGCAAATACATTACAGGCCTGCTGCATCTGTTGAGCTGTGCCTTATATAAGATGATCAACGATTTTGGCTGAGAGCACCTCAGTCATACCCATCGTTCGCGTCGGACACTCGGCTAGTACGTGTTCGACCGTCTCCGGTGCTTGTCCACAATGTCGGCAGCCCGGGTCCCGAAGCGGATGTAATCTGTTCAGATAGCTACGGGTAGGGCAATGATCAGACCTCATTTGCTTTATGAGGCTTAGGTGGTTGCGTTTAAGAAGCCACCACTGATCGCCCTTTCTGTTTGGTTTTAGCATGTTCCGGTAAAGTTCCGAGCCACACACTAGATCAGTGGTCAAAAGAGCCAAAAATCAGAAGCAGGACGACTAAAAAAATTTTGAGAGTAGAATGTTTTTTCAAGAACCTGTCAAGACCCATGTTTTTCGGAGTCAAACCCGATTTCTGGCCAACTGGTCGAGCCGTATTCAAGTCTCTAAAGAGCCGCGATTTGCCGACCACTGCACTAGATGGTTAGAATTTTAAGACTTGCACCTAAGAATAATAATAAAATGCCTACTAAATTTCATTTTTTGAACAATCACTGGATTTAATCATTTGATTTGCTGAAAAATGTGTGGAAATTTTTAGCTATTGACGAAATGTTAATTGTTTGTTTTCAATAGACTATAATTATTGAATAGTCAACAGTGCCTATGAATGTTTGTATTACTAATAGACTCTCGAATCAAATACCAATACCATGACTCACAGACTTTACCAAGACGTCCAAGGTCCCCGGGGTGGGGTGGCTTCCATCACTCAGGGGGGGGGATAGACGCCCCTCTTTCACACGCCCTAGTGTCACTACTGAAATATTATACACGTCAGTAAAGCAGAGTGGTGGACCGTCTTATAACAAGAGAATAAGTACAAAACAGACTCCAGCTTGAACTTCAACACCCTTGACCTCAACACTCAACAGTCATCCCCGAGAGTGTCACTGAAACTTGCTCGCTTGACGTTGTCGTTATAAGGATACTCAAATTATCTCAGCGGTATCATAGCCAGGATAATACAACTTACTTTGAGTTATCGTGGTCAGGATACTCAAAGTTTTCCAGCTCGTTCGGAATCCTGAGCAGCGTTTGACCTTTGATC